GCCCAACAGTTGGGGTTGCAAACTCGAGAGAGATTTAACGCCTCGAGCCTACGTCAACTAAGCCATTGCCCGGCGCGGGTGCGGGGGCGGCGATCGCAGCTGCTGAGCCGCCGCCGCTGCGGCCAGTGGTGCGGTTGGCCGAGGCGGAGGCGATCGTCGGGCGGTATCTCGCGCCCGGCGGCGTGAGGCTGCCTCCGGCCTTCGACGTGGCGCAGGCGAGCGCGAGCGTGGAGCGCGTCGTCGCCACAAAGTCGCTCTGCGCCGCGGCGCCGACGGAGCGAGCTAGCCGAGAGAGGGGGGGGGGGGAGGTGCGGGGAGATGCGGGGAGGCACGGGGAGAGATGCGGGGAGAGATGGGGAGAACGTGGCGCCGACGGAGCGACTCGCGTCCGCCTATGCTGCCTCTCGGCGCCATCTCGGCGCCATCTCGGCGCCATCTCGGCGCCATCTCGGCGCCATCTCGGCGCCATCTTGCTCTAGGAGAGGCTCGCGCGGCCAGGCGTGCTCGGGGCGGTGGAGTTCCTGCGAACCAGGCGGGCGAGGCGACGGCCACCCTAGTCTATGGAGTGACTCTCACTGTCATCGGTTAATGAATCATCAACCAGGCGGGCGAGCAAGGCGACGGCCACCAAGCGCGGGCTGGACATGGCGGCGGTGCGGACGGTGCGGGGCGACAACAACCTCGTCACCTCCACGCTGCACCTGCTCGACCTCTCCGACGACCTCCTCACGCCCGGCTACCGGCTGCGGCTGCGGCAGACGCGGCTGCCGCTCGCCGACGGCGTGGAGGTCGACTCGAGCGTCGACGCGTTGCGCCGGATGGCGTATTCGGCCGATCCGGCCGAGCGGCGCGTGGCGGCGGCCCGCGCCACGTATCACGGCTTCAGCGCGTCGATCCGGTCTGTCTTTGCCGCCCCTACGCCGGAAGTTGCGTCGGCGCAGCTGCTCGCCGAGGAGCCGGCCGGCGGTTTTTGCGCCGCGCCCGAGCGCGAGGAGACGGCCGAGGGGGGGGAGGGCGGCGGCATGGAGGGCGACGCGCAGGTGCCCGAGCTCGAGGGTGCTCCGTCCGAGTCGGGGGCCACGTCGAGGTCGACATGCAGCCGAGAGGCAGCCGAGAGGCGGCCGAGAGGCGGCCGAGAGGCGGCCGAGAGGCGGCCGAGAGGCGGCCGAGAGGCGGCCGAGAGGCGGCCGAGAGGCGGCCGAGAGGCAGCCGAGAGGCGGCCGAGAGGCGGCCGAGAGGCGGCCGAGAGGCGGCCGAGAGGCGGCCGAGAGGCGGCCGAGAGGCGGCCGAGAGGCGGCCGAGAGGCGGCCGAGAGGCGGCCGAGAGGCGGCCGAGAGGCAGCCGAGATACCCGACACATCCAGCCGACACGTCCAGCCGACACGTCCAGCCGACACGTCCAGCCGACACGTCCAGCCGACACGTCCAGCCGACACGTCCCACAGGTCGGAGGCGGAGGAGCCGCCGGAGGAGGAGGGCGAGGATTGCTCGCGGCAGAGCGGCCCTCCCCGCCCCGCCGGCGTGCCCGACGACGCGGTGCCGCTGCCCTCCCAGAAGCAGAGCGAGCTCGGCCTCCCCGACGGGTGGTGGTGGGTGGACTAGACGCGGAGACAAGAGGTCTCTGTGTGCAAGCCTACACCCCCCCCCCCCTTCCCCCCTCAGCCGTACGTATTCAACCGCATTCCGCTGTACTCGCTGTGTTCGGAGCCCGTTCGCTCACACCCGTTCGTTCACACCTAGGTATGTGAGCCGAGTTGGCTCGCCGGACGGCCGCGCCGGCTACCGCTACTCCTGCTACTACAGCCCCGCCGGCGCCTGCTCTCCGCAACACGCGCGCGTGAGAATTGAGTGAGTGATCAATCATGAATGATTGATGGCTAGGCGTCAGCTTCCGGAATATGCGCGACATAAAGAAGCATCTCGACGACACGGCGGAGGCCGACGCAGCCGCCGCCGCCGCTACCGCCGCAGCCGCCGCCGCCGCCGCCGCTACCGCCGCCGCCGCTACCGCAGCGTGCGCCGCTGCGACGCGCGCGAAGCGCAAGTCGCCGCAGGGCGGCGGGGCTGGCAAGAAGCGGCGGCAGGCCGAGGCTGCGACGCCGGTCGCGGCGGCGGGCGCGGAGGTCGACTCGGCGGGCGAGGAGGCGCCCCATGCTGTACAAAACTTCACTATCACATTCTGCTGTGCTATACCACACTATGCTACGCTAAAAGCGGCACCCTGCCCTCTTACTCCTTCTCTAGGCCGAGGGTGCTGGCGCCGAGTCGCCGGCGCCGGTCGCGCCGCAGGGCATGCGCTTGCTCCTCCTCCGCGCGCTGGTCGTCGGGGAGAAGTCGCGCGAGGCGATTGTGGAGCACGCGCTGTCCGAGGAGCCGGACCGGCGGCGCGACTCGAGTCTTCATATTCGCTAACTCCATTCAATGTATAAAAATAAATGGTGTAGGACCCGGATCGGCTGCGTAAGTCGCTGGTCACGCAGCTGGGCCGCGAGAAGAGCGTACAGGCGCCGCTCTGGACGCAAGACGGCGGCTGGACCTTGGGTACAGGGAGAGGGGGCAAAAGCGACGGTGCCACCTACTTGCTCACGGCGGAGGGCGAGGCTTTTCGCGAGCACGCCAGCGCAGGCACGCCCGGCGGCGGCAGGCGTGCGGAAGCCGGCAAGGCGCGGCGCAAGGCCCGCGGCGCGGCGTCTGCAGAGGCGGCGGCGGCGGCGCTGGCCGACGGCGGCGTGGCGGACGAGGAGTGGCTGGCGGAGGGTAAGTACGTTGGTGAGGAGCTGCTGCGGCAGGTGCAGGGCCCACCGCGAGAGGGTACCCTGAGACATACCCGAGGTGGACTCCGAGATGCAGTCGAGATGTGCTCGAGATGTGCTCGAGATGTGCTCGAGATGTGCTCGAGATGTGCTCGAGATGTACTCGAGCTTGCGCGCTGCGGCAGGTGGAGGGGCACGGCGAGATGCACGCGGTGGTGAGGCTCTACCTGCCGCCGGGCGAGGGCGAGGGCGAGCCCGCGTTGTGGCGGATCGAGCACGACGACGGCGGCGGAGGAGTTGGCTGGCAGGGGGTGAGAGGAGCGTCTCTTCACACCTGCAGCCGTGAACAGGCGACGAGGAGGATCTCGAGGAGCACGAGGTGCGAGCGGCGATGCGCCGGCTCGCGGCGGCACGGAAGGAGGAGGAGGCGGCCCCGCCGATGTCGGAGGAGGAGGTGACGGCGGCGGTGGAGGCGGAGGGGCTGACTCTGCTGCTGGACATGTCCAGGACACGTCCATGACATGTCCAGGACACGTCGTCAGGCGGAGGGGCTGACTCTGCTGCGGTCGGAGAGGGGCAGCAGCGGCTTCACGGGCGTGCGCGTTAACAAGCCCGGCAAGTGGGCAAAGGGGCCTGCAAAGCTGCGCGGGCCAACCTTCACAGCGGCGTTCTCCGGCGCACACACGCGCACCACCGCGCTCGAGGCGGCTCTCGACTACGCGCGGCACTTGCAGCAGCAGGAGCAGGAGCAGCAGCAAGCGCCGGTGGAGGTGGTGGGGGAGGGGGAGCTGGAGGGGGGGGAGGAGCCGCTGCTGCCGGAGGGGGTGGAGGTCGGCGGTTTCTGCCTCGCGACGGCCCCGGACGCCTGGCGGAGGCGTTACAAGGCGGTGCTTTTGAGCGTGCGCTCCGCTCGCTGCTACTCCGGCTTGCCGCTGCACGTCAGGTTTGTCGGCTCCGAGGCGGGCGAGCCTCTGAACCGCCTGACGGCACCGCGCCGGGCGCAGAGCGGCGTCTGTGTCGCTTGCCACGTTCTGAGCTCCGCTCTGTGCCGCTGTAGGCCCCAGCTGTCGCGAGGGCTTTCCTTCCCTTGAGCGAGGTGTCGGCTTGGGTGCCGCCGGAGCAGCGCGAGGATGCAGTTGCCGGCACTTCGAGCGGCATGCTTGAGGGCGGCAGCAGCGCGAGGCGGAGGGCGGCGCCGCAGCGTTTCATGGCACCGCCCTCCAAGCCGGCAGCCCAGGTGACGGAGGCGGAGGGGATGCAGCTGCACTTGTGCAGCACGAACGACACCGGCTACAAGGGGGTGAAGCGGGCCTGGAGTGGCCGTTTTGACGCGAAGCGCAGCATTGGCGGACGCACCGTCCACATCGGTCGCTTCGACACGGCGGTGGAGGCGGCCGTTGCGTACGCGCGCCACGCCAGCCAGCAGCAGGCCGAGCCGCAGCCCATTGCGATGGACGTGGACGGCGGCGGCGACGGCGAGGAGCCGGCGGCGGCTGCGCCAGCGGTGGAGGCCACGGTGGCGCCGGTGGCGACAGAGGCAGAGGGTTTGCCCCTCCACCTTTCGAGCAGCAGCGCCACCGGGTACAAGAGCGTGTACGAGGATACTATTACGGGCCGCTTCTGCGCGCAGCACAGCGTGGGCAGACGCAGGTTGAACTTGGGCCCCTTTGACACGGCGGTGGAGGCGGCAGTGGCGTATGCGCGAGCGGTCGGCGTGGCTCCGGTGGCGGAAGCGGAGGCGGAGGCGGAGGCGGCGGAGGCGGCGGAGGCGGCGGAGGCGGCGGCAGGGCAGCGGGGTACGGCCACGCAGGAGCCTCTAGTCGCGGAGGCGGAGGGTTTGCGCTTGCATCTCTCGAGCAACAACAGCACCGGCTACAGAGGCGTGCAGCAGCGCCCCTCTGGCCGCTTCCAGGCGACACAGGGTGGACGGAATGTCTCCCTCGACATCTTCGACACGGCGGTGGAGGCGGCGGTGGCGTATGCGCGGGCGGTCGGCGAGGCTCCGGCATTGGCGACTGAGGCAGAGGGATTGCGTTTGCACGTCTTGACCAGCAGCGCCACAGGCTACAAGGGCGTGCGCAAGCAGGCATCGGGCCGCTTCCGGGCGGAGCACAGCGCAGGTCACGGAAAGCAGAACTCGCTCGGCATCTTCGACACGGCGGTGGAGGCGGCGGTGGCGTACGCGCGCGCTGTCGGCGAGGCGCCGGTGTTGGCCGAGGCGGAGGAGCAGGCAGCAGAGGCGGAGTGGCTAGCCGAGGCCGAGGCGGAGGCAGCGGAGGCGGAGGACCCGCAGGCGGCGGAGGCGGAGGCAGCGGGGGCGGAGGACCCGCAGGCGGCGGCGGCGGTGGCGGTGGAGGAGGCGCTGATGGAGCCGCCGGTTGAGCGCGACCGCGCGACCACCGACAACAAGCTGTGGATGGGCTCTTTCGACCGCGGCTGGCGCATCCGCGAGCGCTACCGCGGCAGCGCCAAGAGCGGGCATTGGAGCTACGTGAGCCCGACGGGCGACGCCTTCAGCTCGGCTGCTGAGGCGATAGAGGGCGCGGCGGCGGCGGCGGCGGCAATGGCGGCTGCGGAGGCGCCTCAGATGGAGGGGAGTGCAGCGATCGCGGCGGCAGGGGCAGTGATGGCAGAGGTGTCGCCGCTGCCTGCTCGCCCGTCCCGAACCCTGCGTGCGCCCCTCCCACACCACCACACCCGACGCTTGTCCTTGGCCCGCCCGCTCAGGCGCCGTCGAGGCCTTCGCCCGCGCCGAGCAGCAGCAAGAAGCGGGGCGGCGCCAGTGCGGGGCTCGCGCCGCCCGCCAGCGAGCGGAAGAAGCCGCGCTCCCCACACCGCTCCCTGCACCTCGGCTGGTCTCCAATCACAGAGGAGCAGCGCGCTTCTCTCCGCGAGGAGGAGAAGGGGTGGCTCGGCGAGTTCGAGGCGTACTTTCGCGGCAAGCTCTCCCACAAGAACGCGCAGCAAGTGATGAAGCACATCACGCCCCTCGTCGCTGGCAAAGGCGTCGATTTCGGACCGGGCGTCGGCAACTTTCTCGCCGGCATCCCCGTCACCATCTCCTCGGACGTCGCCAAAATCCTCGACGCGCTGCACGCCGAGGGGAACGCCGCCGTGCGCGACCACGACGATTTAAAGGGCGGCTGGCACCTCCGTCACCCGCTCTACAAGCTGCGCGAGTTCCAGGCGCACAAGCTCGGCATGTGAGCGCCGCGTTGACTGTAGACCGTGCTGTCTGCTGTTTTTGTAGAGTCACGATCTCTGGCGCATGTCCTAAAAAGTAAGGTAAGCGGTGAGGTAAATTTCTCCGCGCCGCCCGCGTCGCCCGCGGCGCGGCCCGCGCACGGCCCGCGGGCCCGCATGGCGCGCCGCTCGTCGAGAGCGTGCCCAGCGGGTTGTGGAGGGCAGCCTGCCTCACTCAGAGCGCCGCCGACGCGGCGCGGGACCGCCATCGGCGCTGCGCGCGCGCGCGCGCGCTGCGCTGCTGCCGCGCACGCTAGGGCGGTGCCCACAGGACCCAAAAGAAAATAGCTTTCCGACTCAAAAAGGGACGCACGAGGCAAATGCCAAATCTGATGTTGGCCAGTTCCAATAGGAGCGAGGCCTCTTCCGTTGGGGGACCGAGTGAATAGGAAACGAGGGTTTCCCATTGTGACCCGCTCCAGCGCGAGCGTGACACTGCACTTGGCGCCGAGCGCCCGCGGCTCAGACCTTGTGCAGGCCACCCCTCGGTGACCACGCCGGTCCGGACCGATGGCGCTCGGTGTGGAGCAAGCAAGACCCCCCCCCCCCCCCATCGGCGCGCGCTCGCCATTCCAACGGCCGCCAGGAGCACCAAGAGGACTCCTCATGGCTGTGGTCAAGTGGGCTTCGACCGTCGTCCAGCTTCTCCAGCTTCTCCCTGAGCTCGGTAATCCGTCTCTGATGCGCATCAATCTGCAAGCTGAAGGAGGTCCTAAAGGTGTGGTTGCGGCGCCACGTCTCCGCTTCCTCGTGTAGCCGCTTCATCCGTATGAGTATGCCGTTCCGTCTGTTCAGCCTCGAAAAAAAATGCCTTATTTTCCAATCGCGGCAGGAGTGCCCGGCTTCGGGCTGAGTCGAACACCCCCTGCCGCTGAGTTGAACCTCGAACACCCGACTTGTATGGGCTGCAGCAGCAGCAGCAGCAAAAGCGGCGCGACGCCACCCGACGTCAATGCCTACGGCGAGGATATGGACGCCTCTATGCACGAGTACGACATGGCGCGCCGCACTGAGAGTTCCGCATGCACGTCGGCCCTCGCCCGGACCTGAGAGAGAGCGCAGCCGGGAATGAGAGACCGGCGCTCGCCCGGAGCTGCGAGAGAGGGCGGTTCTCACGGACCCGTGGCGTGCCGCCTGTGTCAGGACTCGTCCGTGCACGCCGACCCGCTCGGGTCCATCCCGGAGGACCACGATTTCGACTTGTGCGAGCTCCTCCTCGGAAGGATGAGCCTCGTGTTTGAGGACCTGAACGCGGGCGGCAGCGGCTGGATCGCGGCGTCGGCGCTCGAGGCCCGGCTGAGGGACGACACCGAGCTGCACGGCATCGTCTCCACCGCCGACGGCGGAGCTGAGGCCGTCTCCTCCTTCCTGCAGTCGCTGCTCCACGAACCGGCGCGGCAGATCTCGCTCGCGGGGCTGAACGAGGAGCTGCAGCACCTGCTCCAGCCGTGCGCGGGGGTGGGCGCCGACGCGGCGGAGGCGGGCGGCTGAGGCGAGCAGGCAGCGGGCCCCGCGGGCACGGCTGCAGAGCCAGAGGGAGAGGCTGCGGCAGGAGGAGGACGCGCCGCGTGTACCCTGTCTCTACAGGAGTGTTGAGGTGCGTGTAGGTCAGGGGCGAGCGAGGTGGAGATAGTGGGGGGGAGAGAAAGTGTGTGCCGAGAAGGCGTTTCAGGGGACTCATGGCATGCGCGTGTGTGTTAGGTCTGTGATTGGGGGTTGACGCGTACATATGAGCGATACCGGTAATGCCGTATAAGGTGGTAGTGCACGGGAGGTAACACTCTCTACTGATTCTCTACTCAAAATGGCAGACTGAGATTTCGAACGGTGACGGTATACACAAAAACACTGAAATGGAAAATCGGTTCAACACTATCTGCTTTTTTTTCGAGGCGCGTTCTTTATCATCGGGGCGCGCGCTTGTTGCAGCAGCCAAACCGCTCGATCGGCACTCGCCCGGCGGGCGTCGAGAAGCAGCAGCTCCAGCCCCACGCCTCGGCGCACTGGGCGCAGCCAATCGGGTCGTCCGGGTCGGTGAAGTTGTCGTATGCGTCGGCGGTGGCGGTGGCCATCAGAGGCGTGATCACCTGAGGTGGGGTGAGGTTAGGTCGGTTCGTGAGGCGAACTTCTCCACACACACAAGGTGGTGGGGCAAGGGCCAGGGCAACCAACGAGCCTCCGCAGCATGAAGAAGTGCAAGGCCCAGTGCGTGCGCACGTGTGCGTGCATGTGTGTGTGTGTGTGCATGTGTGTGTGTGTGTGTGTGTGTGTGTGTGTGTGTGTGTGTGTGTGTGTGTGTGTGTGTGTGTGTGTGTGTGTGTGTGTGTGTGTGTGTGTGTGTGTGTGTGTGTGTGGTGTGGTGTGGTGTGGTGTGGTGTGGTGTGGTGTGGTGTGGTGTGGTGTGGTGTGGTGTGTGTGTGTGTGTGTGTGTGTGTGTGTGTGTGTGTGTGTGTGTGTGTGTGGGTGGGTGGGTGCGTGCGTGCGTGCGTGCGTGCGTGCGTGATCGCCTTGTGCATGTTGACGACGTGCGCGTCGGGGATGCCCGGCCGCTTCGGCGGGAACCAGTTGAACCAGTACTTGTTGTGCCGCCAGGGGGAGAGGGCGACGTACGTGACAGGCAACTGCTGCAGGATCGCGTTGTGGAATATGAGGTACCTAGAAGGTTCCTAGACGGTTCCTAGACGGTTCCTAGAAGGTACAGCGTTGTGGAAGATGAGGTACCTGAGTCCATTGACCGGTGCAACCTCTCAAGTAGTGGAGAAGCAACTGGATCGCGTTGCTGGAGACGAGGCACCTGACTCCATTGACCAGTCCTCCTCACTGCATACACAAGTCACTGAGCGCGTTGCTGGAGGCGAGCCACACCCCGTGGCCGCGTCCTCATGCGTCCAGAACGGAGGCCGCTGCTTAGCGCGCAGCGTGGCGCTGAAGTTCTTGGCGAGCGGCGAGGCGGCGAAGGCGCGCACCAAGTCCGACGAGAGGACCTAGGTTGATAGTGAGGATGGATCGTAATTCATTACGACAGCACCGAGTCCGATGTGAGGAGGACTCTCGGCGGATCTCGGCGGGTCTCGGCGAGTCTGGGCGGATCTCGGCGGATCTCGGCGACTCGAGAGGGCCTGAAGCGAGCCGTCCGCGAACGGGAACGGGCCGAGCGCGCCGGTGCACTCCCCAGGGTTGCCCCCTCTCTCCGGCGCGACGCTGCCGCTGCCGCCGACCTGCGCCAGCAGCGACTGCAGCGTGGGCCCGGCGCCGCCAGGAGTCGGGCCGTCGTCGCCGCGCGCGCCGCACACGCCGTCGGGCACCGGGGAGAGGGGGCGCCACGCGCGCCACGTCATCACGCCTGTTGACTCCTCACCTCGTGGTCAGTGTCACTCATGAAGTGGCACGCGCGCCACGCGCTTCACACACCGTAGTAGTAGTGCGAGCGCCGCATAGCCTCCATCCGCGCCAGGTCGGCCTCGATGCGGCGCAGCGAAGGGAGCGAGTCGTCGTCCCACTTGGCCACCCAGTCCGCCTCCCACCCCGCCTCCCCGCGCCGCGCGACGGCGCGCTCCCACCAGGAGATCGACTTTTCGGCGACAGCGTGCGGCAGGTAGTCGCGCGCCGGGACGGTGAGAAGGTCGCCGTGATTCCGCATCTCCTCCTTCAGCGCCGCGGCGTCGGCCGCAGCAACGCCTCGCCGCCGCGACCCGAGGACGAAGATCACGCGCACGCCCCGGCAGCGCGCCTCGGAGATGCGCAGCTTCTGGCGGATCCAGACGCGGCGGTCGCGGTTCAAAGGCGCCGTGATGATGCCAACCAGGAGCCGCAGCCGCGCCGGCGGCGAGCACACACTGCTCGGCGCCGCGATCAGGCGCGAGGAGTGCGGTCGCGGCCGTATGCCGGCCAGGTCCCGGAGCGCCGCCAGTGGCTGCTGCGAGCATCGAGGCGGCGCGCATAGCCAGTACAGGCCACCAGAGAAGAAGAAGAGCGCCGCACAGACGGCAACGCGCGAGCAGCGGTCGGTCGCCATGCCAATGTCAACGTCTGAGCAGTCAGTCTACAGCACACACACATCGCCTTGCACGACCTGAGGGCTTTGGATCATTCAGTGAACACCGCCCTCCTCAGGGTTCCGGCTCCTGCCAGGTAGGGGGTCTGGTGGCGAGGCTGTACAGAATGCCGAGAGCATACTGAGCAGGCTGCCGTCGAGCGACGAGCCATGCTGGCTCGTCGCAGGCGATGAGATCGAGGAGCCGATCGGAGCGTCGCAGAGGCTGCCGACCACTGTCGTTCGCCCTCGGGCCCAGGGGTGGAAGGCAAGCTTCCTGGCGTTTCTGGCGAGCGTCCAGACGTCGCAGAGCATCCGGCAGGCGCGCAGCGACCCAAATTTTTGCTCACCGCACGGCCGTGCGAGCCGTCGGTCGGTGGTGATGGTCGGCGTCGGCGCGCGCCGACCGACGCGGCGGCGGTGGGCGTCATGTGGCGCGTTTTGGGACCAGACATTGTCCGAATTGCGGCGGACGTCCCTCGAGGTCGTGATATGTGAATAGTGAAAGTGCCGTATATTCGGCACAGAGATTTCTCGACGCGTTTGGAGAGACGAGAGTGGGTGTTTTCTTTCTTTTAGTCGTGCCACCTCTCCCGACTTCCCTGGTGAAGGTCGCCGTGCCCGAGACCCAGCCCGCGGCGAGCGTCGGGGACGCGGGGAGAAACGCCCGCTTCTTCACACCCCCACTTGCCGCACTAGACACCCTGCGAGAGCTCGGGGGGCCGCCGGCGGAGGCGGCGGGGCGCGCAGGCCGCCGGTGGCTCTAGAGACCGCCACTTTTGGAGGAGGGGCCGCCGTGGGGCTCACTCGACGCGCGCGCGCTTCGAGACGACGCGCAGCGGCGGCACCGCCGCCGCAGGGTCGCCGTTGAGCGGCTCGAGCACCGCCTGGGGCCGAGAGGGTGGAGATGGAGGCGGGTGTCGGCAACCCGCACCGAGGATAGGGTTCGGCGGCGGCGGCCGGACCGAGAGGGGGAGGGGGGGGGGGGGGCTGTCACCTTTTTGCGGCCCGTGGTGCCGCCGACCACGCCCAAATCCTGCACGGCCGAGCGGGCCGCCGGCGGCGCCGCGGCGGCGCCAAACCCGATCGTCGTCACCTGCGTGGGAGGGAGGGAGGAAGTGGAGCTGCAGGCGGGGCCCCGGCGAGGCCTCGCCCCCCGTGCAGGAGCCGCCGGCACCGAACCGTCCGTGGCGGCCGCGCCGAAGCCGATTGTCGTCGTCGCCTGCGGCGGCGCGGGCGGCGCACCCCCGCCGCCGGCCGCGGCGGCGGCTCCCGCCGCGGGCTGCGCGTACTCGGCCGCCCGCTCCTGTGGAAGTGTCTCGGGCGTGTCATTCACATCTCCCGGACGTGTCCTCGCGTGCTCCGGCGCCCGCTCCTCGATCTCGGCGAGGAGCTCGCGCAGCTCGGCCGCCTGTGGAGCAAGCGTCCCGGAAAACGTGACGACGGACGCGTCTCCGCAAGGCCGGGCTGCGCGCGCAACCCCCCCCCCCCCCCCCGGCTTTTCGGGCGGCGGGGACGACGACCAGGAGGGGCCGCCGCCGCTCGGGCCGGCGGCGGCGGCAGCGGCGGCGGCGGCGGCGGCGTTTTCAGAGCGAGTGACGTGTCCATCGCCGTTTAGGTCGGCGTCGGGGGCGGGGGGGCCCGAAGCGCCGCCCGGGCCGCCCGGGGCGGGGGGGGCCCCTCCCGCGGCGGCGAGGCGGAGGCGCAGCACGTCCGCCGCTTGCGTGTAGTGCTGCTTGACGTCCTCGCGCTTCTTCTCGATGAGCGAGACGGTGGCGGTGGCGATCTGGTAGTGGAGGTGCGCCAGCTGCCGGTCGTCCGGAGGCAGGGCCTACGCGCGCGAGCCGGACATGTCGCGGACACGCGCAAGCCAAGTCGCCGCCGCCGGCCGAACGGCGCTGCGAGGGCGGGGCGCCTTGAGCTTGAGCTCGAGCGACCGCTCCAGCTCGCGCACCTGCGCAGCGCGGCGGCGGAGAGGCCGGCGGCGGCGGCGGGGTCGGGAGGGGAGGGAGGCGGGGCGGGGCGGGGGGCGGGGGGTGAGGCGGGGGGGCGCGCGGCGGGCTCGCAGCGGCGGGCGGGCGGGGGCTGTTGCTGGTCTCACCGCATCCTCCCACATCTCGTTCTCCATCTGCACCTCTCCGAGGTACTCCAGCACCTCGGCGAGATCGAGCTCCTACAATGCGCCAGCGCTCGCGCTCCCGCGGAGATCAGCGCCCCGCCCCACCCCACCCCGGTGCGGCGCGCCCTGCCCGGCGCTTGCTCGAGGGCGAGCCGCGCCATCTCGAGGCACTGAAAGGCGAGCTCGAGGTCGTCGGCCTCCTCCTCGTCGCCCTCGCCGCCCTCCTCGCCCTCCTCATAGTCCGCGTCCCCCTCGCCGCCGTCGCCGCCGTCGTCGCCCTCGCCACCGCCCTTGCCGCCGCCCTCGCCGCCGCCCTCGCCGCCCGCGCCGCCCGCGCCGCCGCCCTCGCCACCCGCGCCACCCGCCGCAGCGGCCGGGTTGACACCGACCGGCGTCTCCTTTGGAACATTGCTGCCAAAGGGGTCGTCGGCCGCCTGCGCCTTACGCAGCAGTGCCTTGCCGTATTCCACGTACGCTGGTGCGCACTCGACCGCCTTCTCGCCGTGCGCCTCGACCCTGAGGAGCGCAAGCGCGGCGAGTCAGTCACCGCCGCCCGGGGCGGGGGGAGAGGGCGCCGAAGGTACGCGCGCCGCTGCTCGAGGACTTGGGCAAAGAGCTCGATGGCCGCATCCAGATCGCCAGCGGCGAGCGCGTCGCGACCCTGCTGCGATAGTGCGTCCGCCATTGCAAACGGCTCTTCGGGGGGTTTTGGCGCTTTTCAGTCGCATTTTATTTTTGCATTGGGCACACTGTTCTTCACCTACCAACCTACCTACATACATACATACTCATGCTGAAATTCTGGAAAAACCTGGCCGGGCCCTGCCCCCACCCCTACCTACCTACCTATACGATGATACTATACCAAGCTGAAGTACCGAATCCAAAGAGAGAGACAGAGTTGTGAGTCGTATTTTATTTTTTTGAGAGCGCCTTCGTTGTTAATACTGTTGCGGCCTAAAGTCTGTGCAGGTTGTCGGGGACACGATCCCGGCGTGAACAGAACTAACTGACGAATCCGCTCCTGACAGTCGCACGCGCCGCGCTGCGGCGCGTGCGACTGTCTTTGTTTCAAGTAAAAAGTCGAATAAGAGCGGTGTCGGCGTTGTCCCCGATTTTCTCCCCCGGACCGCCCGTCCGGGACCGCTCCGGGACGCACGCCGGCGAAGCACCATCAAGCTGTTGTACGGCCCCGGCATCGCCTCCCCTGGCTTAGCTAGAGTGAGAGATATTGTGCACATGGTCAGTCTCTAGAGTACAATATATACACTGACACTGAACCTCCCGGAGCTCGCCCCGGTCCGTCACGGCCATCCTCGGCCTCCGGAGGGCCCCCGGCCGCGGCGCGGTGCGGCGGCGTCACAAATCCGACCACAGAGCACCGGGACGCGGTCGGGCGATCTGAGGCCCGACTAGGCGTATGCATTGCCTATCCAGGGCTATCACCTGGACCTATCAACAGGCGCCTGCGGCGCCGTGGTCAGGAGCTGCTGTTCACACTCGCACAGACTTTGACACGGCACAGTAGTACAAACCCAATGGTCCCTTGCAAGCGGTCCTTCGTTGCAGTCGCGCACTTTTATTTTTGCTTGGGCACACTACCTACATACATACATACATACATAGTGTCCACCCTCTCAACTTTCTCTCTCCCCTGAGACTCTCTCTGCTCTGTGAGAGGGGCTTATATCGTAAAACTCTCTCTGCTCGCTCCGCCCTCCCTCTCCCTCCCTCCCTCCCTCCCTCTCACCCCCCCCCCCCCCCTCTTCTCTGCGGAACTGGGAGTTTACCTTGTGCAGGGCGTGAGCTGCCGCCGGACCCGAGGCGTGAACCATCGCCTTGGGCCCGTGAACCGGCGATATGCAGCGTGTTCTGCAGCCTTTGACGCAGGTCGCAAGAAGAGCGACTGCCACTCCCCGGGCCGGGCCCTGGCGAGCGGGCGCATGGCGCCCGACGCTCTGCCATGACCTCCGGGAGGTTGAGTGGCGACCTCGGTGAGGTTTACTTAGTTCGTTCTACGGAGGGACAGCACCTCCGGGCGGTTTTAGAACTTTGATCGCTACTCAAGCCACACAGAACACCCGCTTACTAGCCTACTTTTCAGCGTTTCCGGGCTCGCAAAACCCGGCGGGTGCAGCGGCGCAAGACCTCTCGGAGGTCGCAGGCCGACCTCGGGGAGGTCGGGGAAAAACCCCCGTTCGGCTATCTACTCGCTCCCCCGCTACTCACAGACACTACGGCTGTCACGGGAGACTCACAGTGGCTACTGAGACTGTTCACACGTGACGTTCACACCTGGGGGACCAGGGTGTATCCGCAACTCGCGCAGCTTCTCTCCTCTCCCCCTCCTCCTCTCTCCTCTCTCCTCCTCTCTCCTCTCCTCTCCTCTCCTCTTCTCCTCTTCTCCCCTCTCCTCCTCTCCTCTCTCCCCCCCTCTCGGTTACTCGATCGTGTTCGACGTCGTCGAACAATGTACGACGTCGTCGAACACAAGTGGAGAATGGCCGTAGCTCCTCTCCACGAGCGATTCAGAAGACGTACCACGACGATTCAGGTCTCTTCATTCGCCCGCCGTGGCGCGGCATTTTTGATTGAAACTAGCGCGAACAGGCCATTTTGCCTCAGATTTGCCCTCTGGCGCGATCTTCTCGCGTCGGCAAGCGCGCGGGCCAGGATGGGCTAGCCGGTCCCGCCACGCTGGACGGGCCAGCGGCTGGCACGCGCCGGCCACCCCGGCGGCGCGGCGGCCTCATCGCGCTCGTCGTCTGCGAGGCCACCGCTCGGCGTCGCCGCGTCCGACGGCGATGGCGCTTGGCTGTGAGGTGGGACGGCGGCATGGTGCGCGCGGACGTGGGGGTGGTGCGGGATGCGCGTGTCAGCAAGCCTAGTTTCACCTCCCCAACCCCGCAGGCGCGCCGACGTGCTGCCCGAGCGCGTTTGGAGGCAGCAGCAGCTCCTCGCGAGGCGCCTTCGGAGAAGTGCCACACCCCTTGCTGCTATCCCAGCCGCGCGCGAGTTGAGCTCCGATTTACGCTCTTTTTTGCACACGCCCGACGCTATTAGGTGACGATCGACCATCCTCCGCTAGCAGGGCTTCGTCGGGCGCGTCTTCGTCGAGCGGTGGTGCATCTCCCATGCTCCCACCCGCGCCCTCCTGGCAGCCCGCCCGCGGCCCACACCGACGCCCTCACGTGCTCACCCTAGTCGTAGGTGCGGTTTTTTCGCGTGCCCCCCGTCGACACGGGGCGCTGGGCGATGTCTGGGCTTGTCGCCGGGCGAGCTGGCCCCTCAGCCGGCCGCGGAGCGGAGGTGCAAAATCGAGGCGGCGCGGCCCCTGGCCCCTGCGCGCAGCCTGTCCGGCCGGCGCGCGCATGGTTCCGTAGCCCGTCTAGGGCCTCACTGACCAACTCCAGCGCATTTCATCAGAGTCCCGTGAGAGCGTCGAGTTACTCTAGTGATGGTAAACGAAAAAAGTGATTTGAATTCGTCCACGTACGGCTTCGTGAGTGGTTGGGGTGGCTGGCCTCAGGCATCCCCAAGGGAGCCTCTGCGGTGCCACATAAGCAGCTTAGTGATTGTCGAGACTTTAAAGTGTTTCGTTGGAAGAAACGCAAACAAGACAGACGCTACTATGGTCACCAGTAAACGAAAATTCGACTTTGAGGGACCATATCTCAAAAGGCTGGGTGAGAGCATAGCATTATTGTTGCATATTAGGCCACATAAGGTCAAACTTGACCCCACAAGCATCAAGAACCCGATGCTCCCGCTCGACTGTTTTTTTTCGGAGGAGGGTGTTTGAACAGTTTTTTTTCACCTTTGCAACGGTAGACCTGCCTGCCACCGGAGGCGCGCAAAATGGAGGCGATTTTGTCGTGGTAAAGCACAAGAGGGCCAGAACGGGGCGCCGCGCGCTCGGGAGCGCTCGCCGCTCGCAGGCCAACTCCTCCCCAGCACGGTGCGTGCGTGCGCTCAGGTTGAACTCGATGCCGCGACTTCACAGCCTCCGCCGTGAAGCTTCCAGCACGCCGAGGCGGACGCTTTCGGCGCCATGGTTTTGGCGCAGCGCTTCGCCGGCTGTCATCCCAGTCCATGGTCGCTCCACAACGATTCTCAGGCGTGCCCGCACGCTCCTCAGGGGAGTGGGCACGCCTCTTGCTATCCTGAAGCGCGCGTCAAGCCCGCTCGACCGTGAGCTTGCTCAGCGAACAGTTTTTCAACAGACGTTGAGCGACGGGCGTGAATCTCCCACACACTCGCCAACTCCTGACTGAGCAGGCCTAGTACCCACGTGATAGCCCCACTGATCCATCCCATGCGATCAGGCGCCGCTCGGACCCCATCTTCGAGCAGGATTCCTCGCGGCAACACAACTCGGCGCTCTCGATGTGCGCGCTAGGCAGTCTCAACGCCGATTACTGCCGAGCGCGCACGACTCGTCGGCGTACCGGCGTGCCGCTGGCATGCTACGCGACGGTGGAGGCGCGTGGGCTTGCTCAAAAGGCATGCATCTGTCGGAGAGTGTGCCGCAAGACCTGATGTGCCTCCGCTCCAGGTGTGTGGCAGTTCGATGGATCCAGCCCAGCGACCTCCACGTGACGATTGAGGACTGCTCTTCCCCTTCGGCCGAGCCTCCAGTCCCTGCCACCGTGCATTGGCGCCAGCGAGCTGCATTTACATCCCGCACGCGCGATCGGCAGTCGAGTTACAACCCGCAGCTGTGCTGTGTGCGCGCGCACTCGAAACGTGGTTCGGCGATCTCTCGGCGACCACTCGTCGACTCGCGCTCGGACGCGAGGTGCGTGCTCGCCTGCCTCCCCCGGGAAGGACACGGCCATTTCCAGCGAGATCTGTGGAATCATCCTCACCACCCTGCCCTCACGCCACCCAACCCGTCCGGCTGCTGCCATACTGGGACGTGAGTGCAATATTTGTGCTGCCCTCGCCATTTTTCAGTCGCATTTTATTTTTGCATTGGGCACACTGTTCTTCACCTACCTACATACATACATACTCATGCTGAAATTCTGGGAAAAACCTGGCCGGGCCCTGCCCCCACCCCTACCTACCTACCTATACGATGATACTATACCAAGCTGAAGTACCGAATCCAAAGAGAGAGACAGAGTTGTGAGTCGTATTTTATTTTTTTGAGAGCGCCTTCGTTGTTAATACTGTTGCGGCCTAAAGTCTGTGCAGGTTGTCGGGGACACGATCCCGGCGTGAACAGAACTAACTGACGAATCCGCTCCTGACAGTCGCACGCACCGAGGCTACTTTTTCAGTCCGGAAAGTGAGGGGTTTACTAATACTTAGTGCTACAACCAACAGGCCCGTGCCAGAACCACCGGCTGGGGAAGTACGGTCCGCCCGTCTGGCGTACGGTGCTACGAGGGCAATGCGGGGAGAAAGGAGGGTGAGGAGGGCCACCGGCGGCCGGGGACGCGGCGCGGGGCTGCTCCCCTCACCCGAGGCGGTCAATGCAGCTCAGTTGCTGCAATCAGGCTTTGGTGGGGGGGGCCCGGTCCGCCGTCAGCGACCGGGAGGCGAGGGCGGGAGCCCGCCCTCGTCTCAGTCACCACCAGTGAGGAAACGGCATCATCACGGTCGGCGCATATCGATGGAGGAGGAGCCAGCCACGCCGACCGACGCGAGGTTTGCTCGCGACGCTCAGATTCAGAGTGAGGTGCCTGAGAGCATGGCGCCGCTCGGCGAGGATGCGGGCATCGGGCCACTGCTGCAGCGGTTCGGCCTGATCACTGCGACTTTCATTCCCGAACGTATCGCGGACTTCAAGGCTGAGAACGCGCGAATTGCGTGGAGTCAGCATATGGAGGGCGCCGGTCTGATGATCGAGGTGGACACGGGCGGCGGCGCCAACAAGCGCCCGATCATTCAAGAACGGCCGCCATGGGACCGCATGAATTTTTTTCAGGGCCCGAATGACGTCGTCTACGCGGTGCAGGCTGCTTGAACTCCATGAGCTTCTCCTCCGCAATGCCAAAGTCGGCTGCGCTCGTTGCTGCGGCCGCGCACTCCTTGAGCCACTTCGTGTAGGGCTCGTCGGGGTGAAACTCGAGGCAGAAGCGTTCGAACAAGCCGAAGCGCTCGACGATTTGGAGGTGAGACTTGATCTTGGTGGTCTGCCGCGCCTTGCGAGCTGCCGCCGCCGCACGCGGGTTGCGCGAGGTGACTTCCTCCTCCTCCGCCGAGGGCTTGAAACCAACGACCCGGTCGTAAAGGTGGACTCTCGAGTCGGCTACATGGCCCGGAGTGGTCCCATCACAGGCCTTCCACCCGCCGTTGCCGTCGTCGCCGCCGGCCGAGTCCCACTCGCGGTGCAGCATGTGCTGGCGGCCCCAAACCGGTTCCTGAGTCGCCCGAGAGGCCCCGTTGGCCCGGCGCTGGGGTGGGGCAGTGGTGCGGCGGCGTCTCCGCGGCGGCATCGCCCCCGTACTTCGCCGTACTTCGAAATGGGGCGTGGTACGTCCTTGGGGCGTGCCAACCGGCGCAAAACATGTGGGTGGCCACCCTCAGCATCGAGGTGTGCGCCAAACCACTTCGGCGGCGCGCGCTCCCCTGTGCGTCTGTGGCACCCTCCAGGCCCTCACACCCCCCCGGCATGTCCAACGGCAAGGAGGCTTCCGTGCCGAGTGACGCGGCGGCCACGGACAGACCCAACGGCAGCGTCGGCGCCGCCTGCCAAGCGGCCGCGCGACAGCGAGGGTAGTCACCAATTAAAGGTGGGACGGAAGAGGCACACGACGGTGCCATCGCGGGCCTTCTACACCGCCCGCCGCCGGCCCAGGCGCGGAGCGTTACGGCGGACCTGCTTCAAACCCCAAGACGGAGGCGCTGAGCGAGATTCTGGGCTGCACGCACGCGCATGGCTGCTGCGAGAGCTCGGAGGCAGAGCTTGCTCGACGAGAGCTGCTCGAGCTCATCACTGCACCCGACGTTGACGTTGGTGGCGCGATCAAGCTCTTTCTTCACAGCCTCGCACCTCTTCTTCCCGTCGCACGGCTGTCGCAGGAAAAGGCAAATGACTCGGGTGAGGATGCGTCAGCACGAGTACTATTTCATCGTGCAGCGCAGGCTGGCTCGCCACTACTGTTGGCTGGAGCCCCTCTCCCGCCCGACGTCGGTGCTGGCGCATGACAGGCGATCACTGTATGCATCGTGCGCCTTCCTGTGTGTCGGTCTCCGCACAGAGCCGCACCATGGCGCATGGGTGTCGGCGTGTCGGCCGGGCGCGTCTCGTCAGTCGTCCCGTGCCTGTCCTTTAAACGGCATTTGTGTGGCCCGTTTTTTTGTGCATCGTTAGAAGTGCGCAGGCCTCCCCGAATTACACGTGCGATCGCCGCGCGCACACGACAGTCGACAGACGACACGCGACAGACTCGAGACAGACATGACAGACAGGAGACTGCAGACTCCTCGGAGGAGACCGCACACGACCACGTGAGGGGACCACCACTCCACAGGTGACAGACAGCACACTCTTACACACGAGACACACTGATGGGAAAGGACGGAGCGGCGGCGGCGGCGGGAGCGGTGCGCGGGCGGAGCAGCGACCGCCTAGGCGGAGCGCGCCGTCTCTGCGCAGGGTCGCGCGTCAGGCCGGGGGCAAGGCTCAAGCGTCCCCCTGGTGGCGGCGCAGGGAAACGCGGAGGCGGCCGGCGGTGGCGGAGACGCGAGCGTTTTGCACGCGACGAGGCGAACGGTGATGGCGCGGTGGGTGACGGGGCTAGAGAACACCCGACGCTCGCAAACGACGTCGGTGCTGGACGCCTGCGTAAGGGCCGCAGGGCGGTCGTGGTGGGGCAAGGCGGACCTGGCTGGGGGCCGGGTGCAAGGCGCCGGCGGGGAGCTCTCCCGGACTCATGTGTGCGAGCGCATGCCCTCCTACCTAATCCGCGCCTCACCACGCCGCTGCATAGTATGGCTTCCGAGGCTGAACCGCTCCGCAACGGTTGGTAGCTCGACCTGCACATTGACAAAGTGCGGTTACCTGTCAGTCGTCGACGTCGCGTGCGAGATCCAATATCGCCGGCCGAGCGATAGCAACCTGAGAGGATAGGGATCCGTGTCAGCATGCCGTAGCCGAGCAGTGCCGCGCTTGTGGCGCGCGCGCATTGGCTTCACCTTCGGTCTCAGCGCTCGGGCCGGCGCCGGGGGTCATGGGGCGACACTCGGTCACGCTCCGGCGCCCCGGGGGGGCTTCAGCGGGCAGTGCGCGAAACCACTTCGCATGGCCACCCGCGACCCCACTTTGGACGGCGAGCGCACTTGCTCACTTTCCGGACTGAAAAAAGCACCTCGCACCGCGCTGCGGCGCGTGCGACTGTCTTTGTTTCAAGTAAAAAGTCGAATCAGAGCGGTGTCGGCGTTGTCCCCGATTTTCTCCCCCGGACCGCCCGTCCGGGACCGCTCCGGGACGCACGCCGGCGAAGCACCATCAAGCTGTTGTACGGCCCCGGCATCGCCTCCCCTGGCTTAGCTAGAGTGAGAGATATTGTGCACATGGTCAGTCTCTAGAGTACAATATATACACTGACACTGAACCTCCCGGAGCTCGCCCCGGTCCGTCACGGCCATCCTCGGCCTCCGGAGGGCCCCCGGCCGCGGCGCGGTGCGGCGGCGTCACAAATCCGACCACAGAGCACCGGGACGCGGTCGGGCGATCTGAGGCCCGACTAGGCGTATGCATTGCCTATCCAGGGCTATCACCTGGACCTATCAACAGGCGCCTGCGGCGCCGTGGTCAGGAGCTGCTGTTCACACTCGCACAGACTTTGACACGGCACAGTAGTACAAACCCAATGGTCCCTTGCAAGCGGTCCTTCGTTGCAGTCGCGCACTTTTATTTTTGCTTGGGCACACTACCTACCTACATACATACATACATAGTGTCCACCCTCTCAACTTTCTCTCTCCCCTGAGACTCTCTCTTCCTGCTCTGTGAGAGGGGCTTATATCGTAAAACTCTCTTTGCTCGTTCCGCCCTCCCTCTCCCTCCCTCCCTCCCTCCCTCTCACCCCCCCCCCCCCTCTTCTCTCCTCTCCCCCTCCTCCTCTCTCCTCTCTCCTCCTCTCTCCTCTCCTCTCCTCTCCTCTTCTCATCTTCTCCCCTCTCCTCCTCTCCTCTCGCTGCAGAAACCACGTGTCGCCTCTCCTCATCCCTGCTCCCCAGCAGCGCACTCTGCACCTTCGGCGCCTCCTCCCCTCGTCTAGACACCCGGTGTACATTTTCAACGCATCGCCCCACATTCCATTCCACCGGTGGTAGCCCTGAGCGCAACCCTGGAATCCACACTTCCGTGAACCATTTGAAGAAGGCTCCAACCACCTGTTCCTTCCCTTCCGCATCAGCGTCATCGATCGGCTTTCGCAGACGTTGAAAGATGTCGTCACCAAATATCTTACGCGCATTCGCAAAACCAGCTGGAAGAGCTGACGGCGAGCGCGCTGCGGTCGCACGGCTCCCAAGTCATATGCCACGGCGTGCGATCTAGAGTCAGCACACGCGCCTCTGCTTGCATACACTCATACATTGGATTGTCATTGCCTGTGAGTGCGAGATAGGACTAGCTGCTGGCGGCTAGCCCCTGAGGAGAGTGACCAGAGACACCTCGCATGACCCCACACACGGTCTAGTCCGGCCTTGCGGTCGGCGGAGATTGCTAGAGGACGAGCAAGCCTGCTCTAGCCTCGCACGTTACTTCCTGTCGTCTGTTGTTTGTTGTGCCCTTGTTTGTTTCTCTTGGCACCTTGGAGTGCTGGGGGGGGCGACAGGAAGAATGTGGCCCTGAGTTATGTGTACGCCAACTCAGGGTGTGTGGCAGCCAGCTGGCTGTGTGTCTTGTGAGCTTGTTTGTGTCTGTGTGTCGTTCGTGCGTGTCGTCATCATCTGTCCTGCGTCCACCCATACCGCGTTGGTGTCCAGTCCGAGCCTGGCTGTTCTTCACCTTTCTACCTACCTGGGCTTAGTTGTTTGCCACACACACGCACCCCTTTGGGGTCACAGCCCCCCCCCCCCCCCCGCCCGATTTCTTTTCCTTGTTCTTTTCGGTTCTTGTTTTTAAAACTCCGTTTCTTGAGAGATTTTTAGCAATACCAATTCTTACTCTCTATGTTCTCGGGGTGCAAAATTCTTTTTTGGTGTACCTGTGTTAGTGCCAGTGCGCGCCAGTCCCGTGCCCAGTGTTGTGCGAGGGAGAGTTTCAAAATTCTTTTGTGGGGTTTATTTTCTTTTTTTGTGCCATTTGTAGTGCCAGTCCGAGCCAGTCTGCTGTGAGAGGGGCTTGTATACTAAAATTCTTTTTTTGTGGCTCTCGCTGGTGGGCCGCATTCACCTCGGTGCGCAGTCTACTTCGGCCGCAGCCACGCCCCATGGTTGAGAACGGCGTGTATGAGAACGGCGCGACCGACGCGGAGGTGTGGCGAGCAGCGAGCCAGTAGCGCAAGAGGTAGCGAGCGTGGAGGTCCCACCGCGGCACGCGGCTCCAATCGGCGTCGCTGGCCCCGCAGGACCCGCTGCCGCGGCCCGAAGAGATTGAGATCGAGACCGTCGACCTCTACCGCCACGATGAGGAGCAGGCGCGCCGCCACCGGGGCGATGGGATGTCTGCGAGGAGGGGACCGGCCATGTCACTCGCTCGCTCGCCGCCGCCGCCGGCGCGCCCTAAGCGGGCCCTGTCCCGGGCAGGCGTACGTGACGCTCATGTCCCAGGAGGTCAAGTCGCTCAACTTCGCCGCCGAGGAGAACTACACCGTGCGCCTCTGCAAGGAGCTCGTCGCGTACCACTACCCCGACGAGCTGCCGCTCGGCTCGTTCGAGCTGCTCGCGTCCAACAAGATCCGCTCCGACGAGGAGACGGTGGGGGCTCGAGATCACCCGAGATTAGAGTACTCGAGATTCCTGATGGGTGGGCTCCTCACCCCCCCCCCCGCTGGAGAGAGAGAGAGGGAGAGCAGAGAGAGGCGAGGCACGCCCCCAGAAACCGACGGCCCGCTATACACCCTCGCCCTCCGCCGCAGCTCGGCGAGGTCTTCAACGGCGACGAGTACTACTGCGACCGGCCGGACGAGGCGAACCCCACCCTGGCTTATGGTCCTGACCCCGACGCTGGCCCTAACGCTGTCCCCCACCCTCGCCATCTCCCTCGCCCTCACCCCCGTCCCCACCCTCAGGCGGAGGACCCGGACTTTGACTGGAAGCCGCGGAAGGAGCAGGTCAGTGTGGGCGCACAAGTGGCACATGCCGGACACAACGCCACTGCGGCCGGCGCGAGGACCATGAGAGCGAGCACGCATGCCGCCTAACGCTCCTCCCTCCTCGGTCCGTCTCTCCAGGTCTTTTCCGACAAGATGCTGATGCAGCTCTCAATTTGGAAGAAGGAGTGGGACGAGGAGACAAAGTCGTATGAGCCGGTCGGTCTGCATGCCGCACGGCGAGGAGGTCGTGAACGGCGTCTCTTCACGGCCGTGGCTGTGAACAGGTCGACCTGTCCTACATGCCGTACGGCAAGGAGCTGACCAAGCAGTGGAAGAAGCTCGGCTACCTCGACGGTGCGTTTTGGCCTCGCCCAAGACCGCCGCGCCGCCGCACCGCCGCCCCCTCCCCGCGCCCCTCCTTCCCCGGCGGCGCCCTCTCCCGCCGCGCCGCTCCCCCGTGCGACCTGCCGCCGCCAGCCGCCGCCCGAAAACGTCGTCAAGCCGTCGTCGACCCACTTTGCAATCGGCCCGGCTCGCTGCGGCTGCAGGCAAAAACATGCTGCGCGACGAGGGGGAGCTGATCGCCGAGGGCAAGATCACCGACCCGGACAAGATAGCAGACTACCGCAAGCGCGAGGGGCTGACGAGCACGCTGCGGGAGACGCGCGCGCGGCGGAGAAGGGGGGCGGGGGCAGGGCGGAGGGGCGGGGTGGGGTGAGTGCGCTGGTTGGGCGTTAGGCACCTGATTCGGAAGAAGGACGCGTGGGAGGCGGCGGGTGAGATCGAGAACAAGGACGACGTAGACGAGGCGTGGCGCACCACGGGGAGGGGGTGTGGCGGGGGTGTGGGATGCGGGGGAGGGGCGGCTGGAGAGGGGCGGGGGGTGGGGGGGGGGGGGGGGGAGCGGGGGCGGGGAGAGGCGTCTCCTGTGCTGGACCAGGCGCTCGCGTGGCTGCAGCGGCACAAGGAGAAGGACTACAACGCCGCGCTCAAGCTGCAGGGGCGGAGGGCCGAGGGCGAGGAGGTGGAGGTGGAGGAGGAGGAGCCCGAGCCCGACGACCCCGACGTCGAGGTGTACGTCTGCGAGCCGCCGCCCCTCCGAGGCATGTGACGTGTCGCGGCGCACAGCGGTCTCACGCCGTGGCGGCTCTGGCCGGCCGGAATAGCGGGGCGCCAGCCGCGCCGTCACGTGGTCCCCTCTCCGCCTCGCCCCTCCCGACACCTTTTGTGGACATGTATATGTGCGTCGTGTCGTCCGGTGCCAGGTCTTCTAGCGCTGTGGAGTCGTCTGTGCTATTGCATGCACGAGCAGCAACCTGCATGCGAGTCGGGATGTGTCGGGAAGTGAGAAACTACTCGTTACTCGAGTGAGAATGTGCAAACAGAGTGGTGAGAGTGCAGGCTGCGGACCTCCACCTGGCTACAGGCTAGCCACCTGCACGCTGGCAACACACCTCTGCAGGCTGCACGGCGCCAGCGGGCATTTACCATTTTATATGTTGCACGAGTGACGAGAGACGAGTATATACGCAAAATGCTATATGGGCCAGGTGTAGTTTATTTTTGCTTGGCCGGCCCTCATCATGAAATTCTGCAAAACCTGGCCGGCCCCTGCGGTGCCCCTTCCTACTCTACCTACCTACCTACCTACCCTACTTATGGGAAACTAAAAAAGAAATCACCGGATCGTGAAGGTGGGGTACCATACCGACTGAAGTGATGGTTGGTGGTACTCTCCTGCAACCACAGTGTCGCGGGGCGGGGTACCGGATGGGTGGCATTGAAGCCCGAGGGGTGCGGAAGGCGCACGGCGGGGGCCCCGCCGGCCTCGGGGTGAGGGTGAGGCCGGCCGCCGCCACCGGGGGCCGCCGCGCCGTAGAGCGGCCCGTCGGTCTTCCTACCGGCGGTGCGCGCGGCCGCGCTCGGAGGCGCTGATTGCTCGGCCGCGCGGGGCCGGGTGACTCGCCCGCTGGGAGGGTGGTGCACGGGGTTTGCGGCGGGGTCCCCAACGTCCCCGGGGCGGCACGCCCGGCGTGCCGCCGCGCCGCGCGCCAGGGCGGCCCTGATGACGGAGAGCTCGGGGTGCTCGGTGTCTCTCTCTATCGTGTCGAAGAGGTGGCCTGCCTCCTTCTCGAGGTCTCGTGCTCGTGCCTTGTCCCGCAGGGTCCGGACCTGCGCGCGGACGTGCTCGAGCTCCGCTCGCATCTCCGCGAGCTCGGCGCGGTCCGCCCGCCTCTCGGGCCTGAGGGACGTGCCGTCCAGGGCGACGTAGCGATCTCCCTTGTCTGAGGGAAGATCGCCTTCCGTGTCTGCCCCCTTTCCCACAGCCCGCTGCGGCGGGGTCACCGCGCCGCGCCGTGCGACGTGCTTGTGCGTGTCGTGCAACGCCGGGGGCTTGCACGTGCGGAGGGCACGCACCCCGGGCGCGGCGCCCGCCTGGACACCGCCGTCCAGGGCAGCTGGCGTCAGGAGCGCTCGGCTCTGCAGTCGCGACCGCTCCCCCTCGAGGGTACCCTTGCCGGGTGCACCGTACGCCTTGTCGCTCGACGGTGGCGTGAAGTGCCACCGCGCGTCGTAGTACCACTGCGTGCCGTGGCCTCGTGGCTCGTGGCGGGGGTCGTGACCCGCGCCGAAGGTCTCCTTGGCGTCGTGTGCCACGTGCATGCCTACAGGAGCGTGCGCCCCTGCAGTGCGGATCCCGACTTGGCTCGCGACGCTCGCGTTGTCGTCACGATCCGGTGCTCCGGGGGCCCATGCCCTCGGTGGGTCGTCCGACCCCATGGTTGTGTAGTTTGCCTCGGCGTCTCCCGCCGGTGCGTTCCCTGGGGCTCCCCGCAATGGGGAACCCACGGCCGATCTCGCAGCCCATGCCGCTGTATCCAGCCCTCGGTCGGTCTCGAGGTACGCCCCCCATGGGTCCGCTTCGACGAGTCCGCCCGAGCCGTTGGGCTGGTAGGATATATGGTTTGCCTCGACGTTTCCCGTCGACGCGCTCCTCGGGGCTCCCGTCGATTGGGAACCCACGGGCGATGCCGCAGCCCATGCCGCTACATCTAACCCTTGGGGTTGGCCATGCCCGTGCGCCCCCTGGGGGTGCGGCTCGGGCCAGCCCGGGTCGTTAGACCCGGAGGTTGCGTTGCTCATCGCATCGTCGTCCCCCGACGATGCGCTTCCCCAGGACTCCTCTCGCAAGGGGCCAACAGGAGGAGGCGCGTCCCCTGACATGGGCGCTGCTCTCTCCACTGGAGGGTACGTTTCCACCCGCGGACTCGCTCCGTGCGAACTCGCTGTATGGGTAGTTTCATTCACAGATATGGGCCCGCGCGCCGCGCGCAGGCCGATTGCAGGGCTCTCCCACAACCACGCTGACCCGGATCCCAGGACCAACGACAGAGGCGAAACGACACTCGGCCCGCCGACACAATTCGACCACTGGACACTATATCTAAATGCGGCGCAGGCCAATCTCAAGTTCCCTTCTCGATTCTTCGCGGGTTTTGGTGCAGTCACCTTCCCCCGCGACAGCAGCGGACAGCGTCCCGGCTAGGGACCTGAGGGGATTTATGGGGCACTGCGACGCTCCGCAGCGTCCAAGTTCGCGGGGTAGCTCGGCACCGCGCTTCCTCCCACGTAGCCCTCCGCCTTGATGAATTGCTTCTCGGCGAACGTCCACGGATCGCCGCACGTCTTCGCTGCCCAGCAGCCCTCGAAGTTCTGGTGCTCGTGCTGCGCCCATTGCGCCGCCCGGGCGACAAAGCCCTGGCACGCCGCCTGCACCCGCGTGCACGGGATGAAGTCGTTGATGCTGAAGGGTAGCCCTCGCAGTTGGCGAAACGGGGCAAAGTAATCGCGCGCCTTCAGGCACTCCTGATGGTTGCAATCGCCGCGCCGCCGAGCGAGGATGGCGTCCATCTCCGCCGTGATGAGCGTGGTGCAGCCCGGGGGGCGCTGCCCGCGTCCAAGCACGAGCCCTCGGCGATTCCTCGCGAGGCCCGTCAGGCTCTCGCGCGCAGCGATCAGCGCGGGTTCGATGGTGACGTCGCATCTCGCCTCGCATGGCTGAGATCTGTGCAGCTGTCTCAGGAACTCCGGCGTTAGCAACGGGCCCGTGCTGACAAAGTCCGGCCCGGCCGCTCCTGCCGGAGTTGCGGGCGCGGCCGGGGTGTATTCATCCAGCTCGCCGAGGCGCCCCGGCGAGGCTGCGCTGCGCAAGCACGGGCGGGAGGGACTTCTCCTGCGGAGTCGTGCGTGCGCAGGGCTCCTCTTTGCTTTCTCCTACTCCCTACTATCATCTCGTTCCCGTCCTACCAGAGAAGGTTACTTCCCCCAGGATTGGTCTTCTCTGCCTGCGGGAACACCCCCGGGCGGCCGGGTGGGGCTGCGGCTGGAGCTAGCATGGCTCGGTAGAGCCGAGACCCCGTGTTGAGGCGGCGCTCCTGTGGGCGGCTGTGGAATCGGCAGATTCGACCTCAGATCTCCAGTATTCTCATCCCAGTGGATGGACGTCCGGACGTCCCTTTGTGTTCCTCTCGCCGTAAGCGAGACGCTCTGTCGCTGGCGGCCGCAGTTTTCTGTGACCCACCCACCTCTCCCTTGTGTTTTGTCTGGGGAGGGGCTTCTCCTGCGGAGTCGTGCGTGCGCAGGGCTCCTCTTTGCTTTCTTCTACTCCCTACTATCATCTCGTTCCCGTCCTACCAGAGAAGTTTTGATTCTGCGAGCCGTGAGAGAGAGAGAGAGAGAGAGCGCGCGCGCGCGCGAGAGAGAGAGAGAGAGAGAGAGAGAGAGAGAGAGAGAGAGAGAGAGAGAGAGAGAGAGAGAGAGAGAGAGAGAGAGAGAGAGAGAGAGAGAGAGAGAGAGAGAGAGAGAGAGAGAGAGAGAGAGAGAGAGAGAGAGAGAGAGAGAGAGAGAGAGAGAGAGAGAGAGAGAGTGAGAGAGAGAGAGAGAGAGAGAGAGAGAGAGAGAGAGAGAGAGAGAGAGAGAGAGAGAGAGAGAGAGAGAGAGAGAGAGAGAGCGGACGGAGCGAGGGCGACAAGTGCTTTTGTGACAGAGCATCATCACAAGTTCACAACCCCTTGCGCTGAGGGAGGGTGTAGAGGATGTAGAGTGTAGAGCGCTGTAGAGCTGGGTAGAGATGTAGAGCGCTCTGGAGCGCTGTAGAGCTCTGAGAGCTCTACATCCGCCGCGGGACGAAGCGCCTCCGTTGTAGAGCGATGTAGAGCGCGATTTTGCTGTAGAGTTTGTTGTAGAGGCTCTACAGCCAAACCGCCGGGAAGGCAGTGACTCAAAGAGGTCGAGCCGCGCTAATGGGGTGTCTCCGAGCTAAGTGGAGCTCTGATGGACGGCCCTGACTATCCCTGACACACAGAGAGTCACTCCGACGGCACACAACACCCTATAACTGCGTCATGACCAGCCTGCCATGTGTCGCCGGTGCCGCATTCGTCGCTGTGCTTCTTTAGCAGGCGGTGGACTGTCGGCTGCGACGACGGTCGCATTTGCGCGAGGCGAGGCGAGCATTCAGACGCGTTGCATGCGCCATGACTCGCGCCAGCGCGTGCGGGAGCTCCTGGCTGAGCGTTGAGTCCAGGCGAGTTGCGCTGGCCACTATCGCTACGCCGAGCCGAGCTGACGCGCCGAGGCGCCGGCCAGTCGCAGCCGTGAGGCATGCCATAGCAGCAGAGGCACCTGCCACCCATTGGTCGGGCAGGCAGAAGGCCAGGGCAGCACTGGCAAGTGCAACGCGCCTCATGTCGGAGAGCGACCGTGCCTCGTTCGCCGCTTATGATGTACCGGGTACCAGGGTACGTACTTTTAGCTTACTGGGAGAAAAGGGAGAGGGGGAATCGCGCTTAGTGCCGAGAAAGTGGCGATGCGCCTCCGCTCATGCGCTGCTCGCTCGCCCGGGCGGAGGGCGTGGCCGCCGAGGAGGCGAGTGGGCACCTGCCAGGCCTTCCGCAGGCAGCCTCTTGGGCAGACTGAGGGTCGGCTCTGTCTGCGTGGCGTGGCCCGTGCGCTGCGCTGCGCAAAGCTGCGGGTGGTGAGGGAGCATCTGGTGCTTCCACTGCGCCTGGCTTCCGCGACCAAGTCGTCGATCTGGAGCTCGTACCTGACGTTGTGCGTGACTGTAATCTCGAGACAGCCCGTGAGGTTAAGGCCCTGGTATGGAAGGCGTGGCGGGCTCGGCGGGTCGGGCGGAAAGGGTGGCGGCGAGGGCGGCGGCGTCGGCGCCGTGCCGGGCGGGTACGGTGGCGGCGAGGGCGGCGGCGTCGGCGCCGTGCCGGGCGGATACGGTGGCGGCGAGGGCGGCGGCGTCGGCGCCTTGCCGGGCAGGTACGGTGGCGGCGAGGGCGGCGGCGTCGGCGCCTTGCCGGGCGGGTACGGCGGCGGCGTCGGAGCCTTGACGGGCGGATAGGGTGGTGGCGAGGGCGGCGGCGTCGGCGCCGTGCCGGGCGGGTACGGCGGCGGCGAGGGCGGTGGCGTCGGCGCCTTGCCGGGCGGATACGGCGGCGGCGAGGGCGGTGGCGTCGGCGCCTTGCCGGGCGGGTACGGCGGCGGCGAGGGCGGCGGCGTCGGCGCCTTGCCGGGCGGGTACGGCGGCGGCGCCGGAGCCTTGACGGGCGGATAGGGTGGTGGCGAGGGCGGTGGCGTCGGCGCCGTGCCGGGCGGGTACGGCGGCGGCGCCGGAGCCTTGACGGGCGGATAGGGTGGTGGCGAGGGCGGCGGCGTCGGCGCCGTGCCGGGCGGGTACGGCGGCGGCGTCGGAGCCTCGCCGGGCGGATAGGGTGGTGGCGAGGGCGGCGGCGTCGGCGCCGTGCCGGGCGGGTACGGTGGCGGCGCCGGAGCCTTGACGGGCGGATAGGGTGGTGGCGAGGGCGGCGGCGTCGGCGCCGTGCCGGGCGGGTACGGCGGCGGCGCCGGAGCCTTGACGGGCGGATAGGGTGGTGGCGAGGGCGGCGGCGTCGGCGCCGTGCCGGGCGGGTACGGCGGCGGCGCCGGAGCCTTGACGGGCGGATAGGGTGGTGGCGAGGGCGGCGGCGTCGGCGCCGTGCCGGGCGGGTACGGTGGCGGCGCCGGAGCCTTGACGGGCGGATAGGGTGGTGGCGAGGGCGGCGGCGTCGGCGCCGTGCCCGGCGGGTACGGTGGCGGCGCCGGAGCCTTGACGGGCGGATAGGGTGGTGGCGAGGGCGGCGGCGTCGGCGCCGTGCCGGGCGGGTACGGCGGCGGCGCCGGAGCCTCGCCGGGCGGATAGGGTGGCGGCGATGGAGGGGGCAGTGGCGCCGGGCTCGGTGGGAGAGCAGGCGGCGGTGGGCAAAGGGTCGCCGTCATTGGTATCACGTAGATGTCGTATGGCACGTCGGACGGCCAGAAGTCGTCGCACGTGGCGGTGAGGCGGCACCACGCCTTGGTGCCGGGGCTCCCTGGCAGCGGCTGCCAGAACGAGAGGTAGTTGCAGGTCTGCGAGGCGTCGCACATGCTGACGCACGTCTCCAGCAGGTGCGCGGGGGAGGTGCCGTCCACAAAGTCGTCGAACGAGGCCGCGTCCTGGCAGGACCTGCCTTGTTGTGTGGGCTGGGGCACGAGGCACGGCTCGGCGGGCGAGGGCGGCGGTGGCGGCAGCGGTGGCGGCGATGGAGGGGGCAGTGGCGCCGGGCTCGGTGGGGACGTGGGTGGCGGTGGGCAAAGGGTCGCCGTCATTGGTATCACGTAGATGTCGTATGGCACGTCGGACGGCCAGAAGTCGTCGCACGTGGCGGTGAGGCGGCACCACGCCTTGGTGCCGGGGCTCCCTGGCAGCGGCTGCCAGAACGAGAGGTAGTTGCAGGTCTGCGAGGCGTCGCACATGCTGACGCACGTCTCCAGCAGGTGCGCGGGGGAGGTGCCGTCCACAAAGTCGTCGAACGAGGCCGCGTCCTGGCAGGACCTGCCTTGTTGTGTGGGCTGGGGCACGAGACACGGCTCGGCGGGCGAGGGCGGCGGTGGCGGCAGCGGTGGCGGCGATGGAGGGGGCAGTGGCGCCGGGCTCGGTGGGGACGTGGGTGGCGGTGGGCAAAGGGTCGCCGTCATTGGTATCACGTAGATGTCGTATGGCACGTTGGACGGCCAGAAGTCGTCGCACGTGGCGGTGAGGCGGCACCACGCCTTGGTGCCGGGGCTCCCTGGCAGCGGCTGCCAGAACGAGAGGTAGTTGCAGGTCTGCGAGGCGTCGCACATGCTGACGCACGTCTCCAGCAGGTGCGCGGGGGAGGTGCCGTCCACAAAGTCGTCGAACGAGGCCGCGTCTTGGCAGGACCTGCCTTGTTGTGTGGGCTGGGGCACGAGACACGGCTCGGCGGGCGAGGGCGGCGGTGGCGGCAGCGGTGGCGGCGATGGAGGGGGCAGTGGCGCCGGGCTCGGTGGGAGAGCAGGCGGCGGTGGGCAAAGGGTCGCCGTCATTGGTATCACGTAGATGTCGTATGGCACGTCGGACGGCCAGAAGTCGTCGCACGTGGCGGTGAGGCGGCACCACGCCTTGGTGCCGGGGCTCCCTGGCAGCGGCTGCCAGAACGAGAGGTAGTTGCAGGTCTGCGAGGCGTCGCACATGCTGACGCACGTCTCCAGCAGGTGCGCGGGGGAGGTGCCGTCCACAAAGTCGTCGAACGAGGCCGCGTCCTGGCAGGACCTGCCTTGTTGTGTGGGCTGGGGCACGAGACACGGCTCGGCGGGCGAGGGCGGCGGTGGCGGCAGCGGTGGCGGCGATGGAGGGGGCAGTGGCGCCGGGCTCGGTGGGGACGTGGGTGGCGGTGGGCAAAGGGTCGCCGTCATTGGTATCACGTAGATGTCGTATGGCACGTTGGACGGCCAGAAGTCGTCGCACGTGGCGGTGAGGCGGCACCACGCCTTGGTGCCGGGGCTCCCTGGCAGCGGCTGCCAGAACGAGAGGTAGTTGCAGGTCTGCGAGGCGTCGCACATGCTGACGCACGTCTCCAGCAGGTGCGCGGGGGAGGTGCCGTCCACAAAGTCGTCGAACGAGGCCGCGTCCTGGCAGGACCTGCCTTGTTGTGTGGGCTGGGGCACGAGACACGGCTCGGCGGGCGAGGGCGGCGGTGGCGGCAGCGGTGGCGGCGATGGAGGGGGCAGTGGCGCCGGGCTCGGTGGGAGAGCAGGCGGCGGTGGGCAAAGGGTCGCCGTCATTGGTATCACGTAGATGTCGTATGGCACGTTGGACGGCCAGAAGTCGTCGCACGTGGCGGTGAGGCGGCACCACGCCTTGGTGCCGGGGCTCCCTGTCAGCGGCTGCCAGAACGAGAGGTAGTTGCAGGTCTGCGAGGCGTCGCACATGCTGACGCACGTCTCCAGCAGGTGCGCGGGGGAGATGCCGTCCACAAAGTCGTCGAACGAGGCCGCGTCCTGGCAGGACCTGCCTTGTTGTGTGGGCTGGGGCACGAGACACGGCTCGGCGGGCGAGGGCGGCGGTGGCGGCAGCGGTGGCGGCGATGGAAGGGGCAGTGGCGCCGGGCTCGGTGGGAGAGTAGGCGGCGGTGGGCAAAGGGTCGCCGTCATTGGTATCACGTAGATGTCGTATGGCACGTCGGACGGCCAGAAGTCGTCGCACGTGGCGGTGAGGCGGCACCACGCCTTGGTGCCGGGGCTCCCTGGCAGCGGCTGCCAGAACGAGAGGTAGTTGCAGGTCTGCGAGGCGTCGCACATGCTGACGCACGTCTCCAGCAGGTGCGCGGGGGAGATGCCGTCCACAAAGTCGTCGAACGAGGCCGCGTCCTGGCAGGACCTGCCTTGTTGTGTGGGCTGGGGCACGAGACACGGCTCGGCGGGCGAGGGCGGCGGCGGCGGCAGCGGTGGCGGCGATGGAGGGGGCAGTGGCGCCGGGCTCGGTGGGAGAGTAGGCGGCGGTGGGCAAAGGGTCGCCGTCATTGGTATCACGTAGATGTCGTATGGCACGTCGGACGGCCAGAAGTCGTCGCACGTGGCGGTGAGGCGGCACCACGCCTTGGTGCCGGGGCTCCCTGGCAGCGGCTGCCAGAACGAGAGGTAGTTGCAGGTCTGCGAGGCGTCGCACATGCTGACGCACGTCTCCAGCAGGTGCGCGGGGGAGGTGCCGTCCACAAAGTCGTCGAACGAGGCCGCGTCCTGGCAGGACTTGCCTTGTTGTGTGGGCTGGGGCACGAGGCACGGCTCGGCGGGCGAGGGCGGCGGCGGCGGCAGCGGTGGCGGCGATGGAGGGGGCAGTGGCGCCGGGCTCGGACCTCCCTTCTCGAGGTTCTCGAGGTGGATATCCTTTGGCCGCGTTGGGTAGCGAGGATTGGTGTAACCCGAGCCACGGAGGCGTGTTTTCTGGCGGCCGACCGCCAGTGCACGGAGTTGCCACTTCTCCGACTGCCCCGGCTAGTTCCCGAGGTCGTCGGGTGTGACCCCTTCGTCCCCCGAGACCTCCCTTCCGCATCCGTTCCATCCCACTCCTGCACGCTCACTCCCGATTTTTCTGCTCCGTTTGGAATCCCCTGGATTAACTCGCTCGCTACCCACCCAGCAGCTGTCGCCCCCTCCAGCTTGATAGGTCCCCACACCCCTGTGAATGCATAACTCGTGTCGTCACAGTGCGCCTTGACACCCACACTCCTCCGTAGCACTTTCCTCGCAACCATCACCTCACCAGGCATCATCTTTGAAATGAATCTCTCTCTCTCTCTCTCTCTCTCTCTCTCTCTCTCTCTCTCTCTCTCCTGTTATCATACCGGGAACCACGGAGCCTGAGATCTATGAACATCCCCCATCCCCAGCCAGGGCCTCCAGGGCTCGCACCTCAACCTCTCACAGACCAGCGCGCGCACACACACACACACCAGCGCACAGCGCCTATGGCGTCCTTCCTACTCCTCGCCCTGCTCCGAACCGCCGCGGCGGAGTCGCACTACGACGTGCTGGGCGTCGCGTCTGATGCTGCACCAGACGCTATTCGCGCCGCCTTCCGCCGCATCGCCCTCGCCGATCACCCGGACAAGCTTCCGCCCGACAGCGCGGCAGCGGTGCGCGAGGCGGCCGTCCGCCGCTTCCAGCGCGCCAATGAGGCCTCCTCGCTCCGCCCGTGCGCGCCGACAAGAACCTGCCACGAACCTCGGTACCTTCTCGGAACTTTCCTCTTAGGCCTTTGAGTGCCTCTCCGACCCGACAGCGCGCCAGCGGTACGACGAAGAGATCGCGTGGGGGCCTGCCGCCGCCGCCGCAGCGGCAGCGAACGGCGGAGTGAGGCCGCCGCCGCCGCCGCCGGTGGTGCGAGTTCCAGTGCGCGCGACGCTCTCTTCTCTTGGAGGCTGGACGGCGGCCAGCGTCGACCCGCGCGCCTACGCGTCCGCCTTTGGGCAGCGCATCACCCGCGAGATGGCGGAGAGGGGCGGGCTGCCCCTCAAGACGTACCTCCCGCCCGGATCGGCGGCGGGAGACCTCGTGGCGTGCCCTCTCCCCGCTGTCGGCGTGACGGTCGCGTTTGCGCTGTCCGGCGCGACGCCTCCGAGGTGGAGGGTCGCTGCCGAGGCGGTCGGGCTGGCGCGGAGGCAGTCGGGCTGGGAGAGGCGCGGCGACGACTTGCACCTGACAGTGACCTTGCCTGCGTGGCGGAGGGGGCCGCTGCGGAGGCGGGTGCGCGTGCGCTCGCCGAGTGGGCAGCTGCTCACTCTGCTGCGGCGTGGGGCGGCGCCGCCACCTGGCGACGAGGCGACGTTGGCAGGCGATGCGTTGCCGAGATTGCCCGAGATCACCCGGAGATCACCTGAGGCGAGAGATGGCCGAGAGGTGGCTGTTTTCACGGTATTCGCAGCCCGTCGGGTGATCGAGAGAGGCGTGAAGGGCTGTGTGTCATGCGACATTTGATGAAATAGTGAGGATGATCTTGGCAGGCGAGGGGATGCCTCGGCGGCAGCGCGACGCCGCCTCGACGCCCCTATCTGCGGATCGCGGCGCTTTGCGAGTTGGTTTCACACGCCGGTCGTGGGGATCCGGTGGCACTTCCCACAATCTATCAACTCTCGCATCACACACACCATTCTCCCTCTCTCCCTCTCTCCCTCTCTCCCTCTCCCCGACTCACATCGATCAAATTTTTGGAATTCCCCCCCCCCCCCCGGGGTTCTTCCTCTTCCTTTTGGCCCCTTTCCCCAAAAATTATAAAAATTTGGGCAGATACACACACCCAGATTCCCCCCTTTGCCCCCTTCTTCCCCATGCCCCTTTCCCGCGGGGTTCAAAGAAATAAAATCTTTGGGCCCCCCCCCCCCCCCCCCCGGGGGTTTCCCTCCCCCTCAATCGGTCGGGCTCTTTCCGGACTCGCCAGCCTTTTTTTGACTTTTTTTCCCTAAGGCCCCGTCCATTAAACCCCCCCCCCCCCAAACACACACCCACCCACCACCACCCCACCCCCCATCCAGAGTGCCGCCTCGCCGCGACACGCGCAGCCGCGCTCGCCGCCGCCGCCGCCACATCTTGCGCCACCGCCGCCGCCTCACGGCGTCTGGCGCCCGCTGCCGTCCGCGCTGCACACGTGTACGCTTCCCTCGGCGCGGGACGCCGTGGGCTGCATGGAGTTGGGCCGGCGGGGCTGGGTCGCCTGACCAGCCGCGGTGAGCTTGTGTGCAGGCGCGGACGCCGCTCGCGCACTCTGCCTTCTCCTCTCGCGCCACATGCTCGCGCGCGCCACACCAGCCAATACCCAAGCGAGGCGGCGCGAGGCGGCGGGTCGGCGCCGGGTGAGGGTCGAGGCGAGATAGCCGAGATCTAGCCGAGATCTAGCAAAGATTGCGAGGTGTGGCAGGGGAGGAGGGAGGTGCGGCCGAGGTGCGGCCGAAGTGCGGCCGAGGTGCGGCCGAAGTGCGGCCGAGGTGCGGCCGAGGTGCGGCCGAGGTGCGGCCGAGGTGCGGCCGAAGTGCGGCCGAGATCTTGCCGAGATCCGAGGTTTTTCCCGAGCGGAAGTGGTGTACTCCCCCAGTCTCTTCGCACCCTGCGTCTGTGGTGTGAACAGGCCCGGCGGCGAGAGGCGGCGCGGCGGCAGCGGGAGCGGAGGTCGGAGCGCGTTCGTGAGGCGAAGGCCGCCGCCGGTCGGCGGGCGGTGCGAGGGTGGAATTGGGCGTTCGACAAGGCGCCTCTCAAGCGTGTAGCCGCGCCATCGCACTTCACAGACCGAGGTTGATGAAAAGTGCGCGACGCACCCAAAGCCGGATTAAAGATGTATTTCGTAACGAAAGCCCCACCGAAAAAAAAAATTGTTCCAGTCTTAGCAAGCAAAAAGGAGCACACACGACTTAGCAAGTCCGCACCAGCGACTGCCACTCGCCTAACCGTGCCTCGTCACAAGTGCTCTCCCAATCGCGTACAGGCACACACACTCCGCCTGTTCTCACCCAAGCACTCTGTCACACCCTTGCCTCCCTGCCAGAGCGAGCTAGATTCTCCCCGCCTCCCTCCCGCCTCTGCCGCGCGCCTTCTATGGACGTCAAGTGCAGCACCTAGGGGGAGAGAGGGGGTTTGCCCTGGTAGGGAGGTGGCGAGGCCGCGCACTGCAAACCCAGTGTGAGGAGTGGGGGAGCTGGGACAGGGCGTGTGCGCCTCTGATCTGTCATGGTCTAGTGGCCGATAGGATCCTCCCTTAGGCAGCGATGGCGGGTCGGGAGAGGCCCGAGTTCTCAGCCCGCCACTTACTGTCAGCCTCTCTGACTGCCCAGGGTCTCACCACGATGCCGCCCGAGTAGGGGGATAAGGTGTGTAGAGTGCGGCTCTGTACTGAACCTCTCTCTGTGTGGATCCCACCTGAGCCCACTCGCGGTGCGAAGGCTCCTAATGCGGCAACTGAGCCCGCAAGGGTAGGGCACTCAGGGAGAGGTTATGTTGGATAATATGTTGTGTTGTGGCGTACTGCTGTGCAGCTGGCGCAGCGAGCCCTGCCACGGCTCTTCGTCGAGATTGGTCGGTGGGTGGTGCCTGTAACAGCTGAGGCAGGGAGACTGCCTGTGAGTAGCGCAGCTGCGCGGTCGCCCGAGGATTGGGATGACTAGGTGGAGAGACTGGTACGACCGTACCTAATCAGTAACCAGCCATCCGCCCCCCCCGCATCCTCGCATAACGTAGGTAACCGGAAAAAAGAAATTCGTCCACGTACGGCTCTTAGTGAGTCGTTTTGGTGGCCTCAGGCATCCCCAAGGGAGCCTCTGCGGTGCCACATAAGCTGCTGAGTGATTGTCGAGACTTTAAAGGATTCGTTTGAAGGAACGCAAAAGTTAGACGGTACTATGGTCACCAGTAAAGCCGAAACGAAAATTCGACTTTGAGCCGAGGCTTCGTGGCACTTGCATCGCGACAAGGTCACACGCGGACGCTCCAGCCTCTCAGCTCACCACCTCGCCTTCTCTGTCGCCCTCCTGGCCCAGGCCCATCAGTAGCAAGCCTAAGCCGTCCCAGACCGCACTTATTTGGGTCTGCAAGCTCACACCGGCTCGTGATGCCACGGAGAGGGCTCGAGATTGTCTCCGGTGGACCCCATCCGAGGCGATTGCGAGGGCTTTCCGGAGGCCATCACCGGCGCCACCGACCGTGAAATGTCCTGACCCGCAGCCTTCATGCACCAGGCGCATGGATGCAGTCATAATATGTAGGCCTTGTCTCCCGAAGTTTTGAGCAATAGCCGCAAAAGGTGCTTTTTTCGGCAGTTCATCGCGACACGTCCAGGTGCCGACGAAGCGGCTTCCCAGCTCACCACCTCGCCTTCTCTGTCGCTCTCCTGGCCCAGGCCCATCAGTATCAAGTCTGAGCTGTCCCAAACCGTCCTTACTTTGGGAGAAGAAGCCCACTCTGGCTCATACCACGGCTCTTACGGCCTCATACACGCCCGTTTCACCCACAGACACCGCCGGCACGCACTCCCACTTCACACATGCTCAAGCACAACCCCACCAAAGCACAGCCCTGCTCAGAATGGGCAAGGGCTACCACTTGGTGACCCAGGTAGCCTCTGGCTCGCCACTGCACTCGGCTCCTCTGCAGCTGTCTCGGGCTCTCCCCACGACAGCACCCCGAGACGGCAAGCTCTGACGCCCGTCTGGTGGGCCTGCTGTGTCCACAGCCGCCCCTCACAAGCTCGCTGGCGCCGCTTGAACGTCTGAGAGCAGCCTCCAGAAGGAATGGGTCGCGGTGCATGTCGCCATCGGCCTCCGGGGGTGGCCCGGTGGGCCCGGGGCCAGGCCACTCTCGGCGAACGTAGGCCGGGTACGGGTTTTGAGGGCGCCCGCCCAAGACTCCCAAAGTAGGCCTTTAAATATGAAACCGCCCACCCGCGCCTCAACCCCTCATCTAGATGTCAGTACTGAGTACTGTTCATAGGCGACCCTAGAGGCGACCCTCATCCCGCGCATTTAGCTCGTCAATTGTCATCACATGGTCCGCGGGGCTCAGCGCGAGGAAGGCTTCGCGCTCCTCGGCGCCGAGCTTCAGCCTCTCGGCGTGCCGGAGCACCTCGTGCGTACAGAGGTCCATCAGGCCCTCCGGGTGGAAGGAGCTGTAGTCGGCGTGGTCGCGCGGCAACATCAGCTTGAGCAAGCTGACCGTCAGCTTGTCGCACCGGCCTCCGAACCCACCGCGTGGCAGGTCGCCCTCCGCTCGGCGAGGTCGAGGGCCGACTCGTGCTGCTTGTCGCGCAGCGCAATGTCGCTCCCAGCCTCGACGAGCGTGACGATCGCCTCGCGGTGGCCGTTGACGACCGCCCAGTGCAATGGCGTCCGCCCCCACACGTCCCTCGAGGCACACGCCGAGCCGTCGTCGTCGCTGGCCACCGACTCCCAACGGTCGAGCAAGGCCGCCAAGCATCCGTTGTCCGCTCCCGCGCGAGCGGCGTGGTGTAGCGCCGAGCGGCGTGGAGTCGAGGGCGCCTCGCCTTGACGGCAGCCAGTGCCGCCTCCGCCGCCTCTGCCGCCTCTGCCGCCGCCGCCGCAGCCGCCGCCGCAGCCGCCGCAGCCGCTGCCGCTGCCGCGGCGGCCGCCTCCTCCTCTGCCGCTGCCAAAGCGTCCGCCTCGGCTTCAGCCTCCCGGCGCGCCTCCGCTGCCACCAAGGCTGCCTCCTCACCCGCCTCCGCCGTCTCCTCCTCGCTCGCTTCGCCTGCCGCCTCGGCCTGCCTCTCCCAACGCCTCGGCCAACCCCTCGACCGACGTCTCCGGCGTGATGCCGAACCGGATCCTGTCCTCGTGGAGCTCCGCGAGAAGCCGGAGCAGCCCCTCCCTGTCCAACGGCGCGGGCTTGGCTGCGGCTGCCTCCGCCGGCGCCTCTTTCTCCTGCGACGGCCCAGCGCCGCCGCTCCCGCCGCCCTTCTTCTTCTTCTTGCCCTTCTTGCCCTTGCCGCGCTTCTCCGCCTCGACCTCCGCCAGCAGCTCGTCGGCGTGCCGCGCCGCCTCCGCCTCCGCTGCCGCCCTCTCCGCCGCCCCCGCAGCCCACGCCGCCTCCTTCGCCGCCGCCTCGGCCGCCTTCTTGGCTGCTGCCACGGCCGCCGCGTGCTCCCCAAAGGCGCGCACGCACTTGGCGCTGCCCTGCTCCTTGGCAGTCTGCAGCGCTGTGTGTCCAGACTCCGTGCGCAGCTTCGTGTCGGCGCCCGCCCGCAGCAGGCAGAGCAGGGCCGCGGGGTGGGGCGCCTTTGTCTGCGCCGCAGCGCGGCCCTACCGCTACCTTCACCGCAGGAGCCTCGCGCGTCTTTGTCGCGACGAGTGCGGGGCTGACCTTTGCGGCGCTGGCCGTCGGCGCGGCCGCCTGCCTCGCGCCCTGATATTGGATGGGCACCCCGTGCGAGGCGGCGGCGCGGCGAGGCAGCGGGCGACGCAGGGCGGGGCGGGGCGGCGGCGGGTGGTATAATTAGTTATTAATTAATTAATAATGAATTAATAATCACCGGGCGGCGGCGCGGCGCGGCGGCGGGCGGGGCGGCGCGGCGGCGGTGGGGTAATTAATTATTTGTTAATTTATTATTACTTAATGACCTCGAGTGCTGTATTCCACGTCCTAACCTAATTAGTTAATTCATTAATTAATTACGTATTGTATTCCGCGTCGGGTATTCGCAAGTATTCCAGGAAGGCAGGGCGCGAGGCGGAGCTGTCTCGACGCAGTGTACCACCCACACACGCTGTAGATGGACAGAGAATAGTTCCCTTCCCCCCTCGGAGGGGGCCGGGAGAGGCGCACCCCGAGGGCCCCCCTCTTTCCCCTTCCCCCCTCGGAGGGTGCCGGGCGAGGCGTAACCCGAGGGCCCTCGCCGGCGCCCCGATGCCGCCCGAGTGCCTCGCCGCCGCCGCCACCCCGCCGCCGCCTCCCGACGGAGACACGATGGAACTCGACCACCTCGGTACGTCCTCCCCGCCTCCCTCGCCACCGCACGCAGACGATCACGTGCCAGGGGGTGAAGACGACGAGGATGACGACGACGAGCGGGACTGATCACCTCCCGCCGGTGCTAGAGAGGGGTCCGCAGGCAGAGGTGGGGCGGGAGAGCGTTGAGAGAGAGGTGAGGTCGGAGGTAGGAGCACGGTACTCGATGCCGTTCCAGAGCTCGTTGACGCAGAAGGTCGCCTGCGTGGTGGTGCCGATGTGCCCCTTGCGCGGACCCTCGGTGATGACGTACTTCCAGCCGGGCGAAGTACGCGAGATGCCGAGGAAGGCCGCCATCTCGCCCGTGGGTGAGACACCGTTCGCCACAAGGTGGGGGGGCGACTTGACGATCATCTTGCACGCCCACGGGTAGAACATGTTCATCTTGGGGCGCTGCCCTAGGAGGCTAGAGATCTCCCTCATCCGGAGGGAGGATCGCCCTGCCACAGCTACGCGAGCGACGCCAGCTTGCGAGACGTTCAATTCGAGCATTCGGGCCGCGCGACCTATGGAGACGCAGCCAGAGGCAAGCGTGGGCGCTGCCCAAGCGGATCGCCGGCAACTAGTGCCGCCCGCGCCTGGCGCGACCGCCTTCAAGCGCGGGCGGCCCGTGACTTTGCTCCATCAAACGGGACAAGGCAAAAACACAGTTGCACAGATACATGCCGGCGGCGCGACTCCCCCCCGCAGATCGTCCTCAGTGGGGGAGACCGCGACACCGGTGACGGAGCGCAGTTGGGAGTGTCTTCGGCTCACGCCAGGGCGCTCGTTGCTCCTCCGTCTCTTTGTATCTTCCATACTGCATTTATCAGAAGACGTATGGTTCTTGCACTTGTGCAAGATTGGGCGTCTTCTGCCGCAGTCCCTTTGATGGGAGGCCCCAGGGTGGGGGCCACCTCGAACCCCCGGCCAGGGATTCGAGCGGAGGGTGCCCCGGATTCATCTACCCGTTGGGCCCCGGCACCTAAATTACAGAACTGATCACTTTGCGCAGCAACCGTCGGCCGCCGCTTTTTAGCTGGACGGCGGTACGCTGCGCCGTCGCTCTGTCGTGCACGCTCTCGTGCCTCGTTGTTGTGACCCACCCTGTCCCACCCGTGCGTCGCCGTGCGTGCGTGTGAGCGCCCCTGAGCAACCCTCCCCACCCCACACGCCCACCGGCGCACCCTCGGCCCGCACACGCGCCCTGGCGACCCACAGACCTCCCCCGCCGCCGCGCGTTCGACGTGGTGCCGAGACCGCTCCGGCGGCATGACAGCCCCTGCTGCTTCCTGTCGCAGGAAGAGCCGCGGACGGCGCTGATCGTGCGTCCATAGAGCCAGCTCCGCGCGATGCCGTCCTTCCGGGCGACGACGCTCGCCTTCTGCAGGGCACACGGTGCGGCGCTGCGCTGTCGCGAGCGCGCCGCCGACATTCACTCAGATTCGCCGAGCGCTGCGCGGCTGGCTGACGCCGCTCGCTCAGGCGGGCGCGGCTTGTAATCCCTCGGCGCCGGCGACATTGATCCGTACAACGTGGCCGGACAAGGCCACAAAGCTTCCACGGGCGGGTGAGGCGCCGGTGATCCTAGCTAGCTGCCCTGCTGCTGCGATCGCCGCTGCCGCTGCAATAGCCGCCGGCGCAGGCACGACGACCATCATTGGACCATCCACCGGTGCGGCGAACATGTGTCTCGGTGCCCTCCCGCTCGTCTTGTTCATACTCCATCGCCAGGGTGTGTCGCGCACTTCCGTCCTGACGCTCGCGGCGCGGCGTCGGTCGCCGCCGCGCCGCTGCTCGCGGCGCGGCGTCGGTCGCCGCAGCCGCCGCTCCTCCCGCGTCCCGGCGCTCCTCCCGCGTCCCGGCCCCGCGCAAGCAGCTCGGCAGCCAACGCTTGCGTTTGGATCACGCCCTCCCACACCGACCGCAACGACCCAGGACGCCGGCGGCGACGAGGGCGAGGGCGAGGGCGAGGGCGCCCTCGGCTCGGCTAGAGCGGCCGAGAGGCAGTGCGGTCGCGCCTTTTACCGTGACCGCCGCGCCGCCACAGCGGGCGAGCTCGCGCGGGTGTGGCGGGGGCGAGGGGTGCCACGTGGCGGGGGCGAGGGCTGCTGCGGCCGTCCGCGTCAGTCTGCGTGTCGGGGCGCGTTCGCCCGCGTACGGCTCAGACAGGCGTCGGTCGCCGCCTCCGCTGCACGCGGGGCGTTGCGCTGCGCGAGGGCCGCCTGCAATTGCTAGCCATGTGCTTGTTTCACGGCGGCAATGGGTCACGCTCACGCCTCACGGGTGCGTCCGGGGCACGCTCACACACGGGTGTGCACTCTCGCTACCATTTTTCACATCTGCTGGTTGGACTAACGGCGTATTCTGTCAAATAAAAAGTCTGCTCCTTGGTCAGAAGGAGCCAGCGCGCCGCTCCTCAGGCCGGAGCCAGAGCTCGGGCCGGCGCCCGAGGAGGTCTGCGCGTCCCGGCATCATGGCTTTTACCTCGCCGACCGTGGTCATGATGCCGACGGGAAGGAAGAGCGTCTCGGCCCGCGAGACGTCGGGCCTGCTGATACGCACGACCCGCTGCCCGCGCTCGCGGTACCCCTTCAGGATGGCGACGCTAGCGAGATCCTTGACGGAGAACATGACGCCAGCGCCGGGATGCGCTGAGCGGGGCAGCCCTTGGAGGTCGGCGTCGGTCAGGCAATACTCGCTGCGGGCGCGGACGATGCCGAGCTGTGCGACGCCGGCGGGAACGAGCAACTCGAGTCCGAGAGGCGCAGAGGACGATGCCATGAGCTCCGCGCCGTCGTCGCTGGGCAGCGTGGCGACGAAGCGGGCTAGCCTTCGCAGATGGCGATAGTGGCGACGTCAGCGGTGTCGAGGACCAGCGGACACCTAGTGGGACGCCTGTGTGTCAGAGGAGCGCGTCGAGAGCGCGTCCACACCGCACAGGCACAAGTGTGCACGCGTGCGGCCGAGTGGCGGCGCGCTCGCGCGCGCGCTGAGGGTGGTTGAGGTGAGATTGACCACCGAGCGCTCGCGAGCGGCCGTGGGGAGGGTCCGTCCACGGTCTCTGTCCTCTAGGAGTCGCGCGGGCGGCCAGGGAGCGCGTGGGAGGTCACCGCATCTCACATGCGAAGCAAGTCGGGCGGGGTGCTCGCTCGCAAGCGGTAAAAGGAGGCCCACTCCCCACACGCCAACCCAATGGGTCCTCGGAGAGGGTACCCTGGGTGGGCGGGGCCTCTGAGCCGTGCACAGATTCGCTGACGTCCCTTTTTGATCGAAGAAACCCTCGCGCAGCGGCTGCCCGCATCTCCGTTTGATTTGTGAGTGTTGTGAGGTGATGCGAGCGCGCGTGCGCGCGGCGCGCGTGCCGTTTTGGGTCTTTTATACCAGTGATGAAATATCAACCGACTTACCCCACGCGCGCACGCGCGCGCCGCGCTCCTCGACTCTCTCGCACCCGCCCCGACCCACACGCCCCTCCGAGAGAGAGAGAGAATTCTTGATACGAAACCACGACGACACACACCAGTCGACTCGCATCGGTTGCCTCCATGAACGGCGGAGCTATTCTCGCGCCCACACCACACCTGGCTCCAACGTGGACACGCCCATAGCTGGGGACACTACTAGGTCACGCATGGCATCACAGAAGTTTTATCTCTGGGCCCCGAAAGGCATCTCTAGCAGTGTCGTTACGCATGCCCCCTCCCATCCTGGGCGCATGCGCCTCACGTCTCGCCAGAGCATAAGCCCTTGGCGTGTGGCGAGACGAGTTTTTCGCCATGCAGCGAGCAGCAAGCCGCCCGCCACAAACAGCCGGAGGCATCGCCACGGCACTGGCTGCGCCGCGCTCCCGCACCCGTCGACGAAGCTCCCCCCGCGGAAGACCGCGCGTAGCGACGCCTTGACGATCGAGATGAGCGCGCTCGAGGCTCGCCCACCTACTGCCCCTGAGAGTTGGTTACTGAGTGGGATCAGCTCCCCCCCTTGGGATCGAAGCCGCCACAACCTCACACCCAACATCTCAGGCGGGATCAGAAGGGGACTCCACACCGGACACCGCCCGGGCACAGCCCCCCTACCCGTCGGATCGCACAGGGCCCCCTAGGAGCAGCCCACACACAATCTCGCATCGGCAGATTGCGCCTGAGTCAGGCAGACAGCAGACAAGGAGAGGAGAGAGGAGAGAGAGAGAGAGAGGAGAGAGGAGAGGGTGAGGGAGTGTGCACACGTGTGTAGAGCAGGGAGGGTGTCTGTGGTGGGCTATAGTCATACTACGTGGTTAGAACCACGCGCCCCTCAGGAGCTTAAGGTAGAGCTGAGCGTCCAAGACGCCTCGGTGCCTCCCACCGGCGTGAGACCATCCGGATCTGCCTGCCGCGTCCTCCGTACGCAGCAGTCCCCGCGATGGCCCACGGTCCTCCGTCGCCTGGTTGAACCCCCTGCCTCCCGGTTGACCCCCCAGATGTCGTAGTCCATCATGAAATAAACTCAAACTCCACCAGCCACCAACCTCCACCTCCACCGTCGAGCCGCGATCGCTGTCGCCCGCGACGCCGCCCGCCGCGTCAGATCGCCGCGACGTGCGCCTCGATTCGAGTCGGAGAGCCGCGCCGCACCAGCAGCACCAGCAGCACCAGCACCACCAGCAGCAGCACACCAGAGAGAGGCGCAACCTGCCTGACGCCGCCCGCCGTGTCAGCTGCTCCCGACGCGCGTCTCGAGCCGAGTCGCAGAGCCGCGCCGCGCCAGCAGCAGCACATGCACCAGCATCAGCAACATCACCACCACCAGCAGCACCAGAGAGACAGTGCAGTGTGACAGCAGCGCACAAGCGCTCGCAGAGCGGCGCGCAGCGCCGCGCACGCCACGCCGCGGGCGGTCCGACGAGCGCAGCGTACGTCGGCCGCGAGCCGCGTCACCAGCCGTCTCGCGAGAGAGCGGCGCCGCCGCGTGCGCGCAGCAGCCGCCGCGGCAGAGGCGAGCCGCGGCGACGTCCGCACTAACGGATAACTGCCATTGGCGGTTTCTCTCTCTCTCTCTCTCTCTCTCTCTCTCACACACACACGCCCCTCCCTCACGAGATCGGCGGCTGCGACCCTGAGAGTGCGCAGCGGTGCCGCTGGCGTGCTCACCACACCCGGTTATCATGCCTGCATCATTCCTGCACGCACTGCCTGGTCTGGTCGGGGCGTGGGGCGAGATCTGGCATGGCGGCGCGCTTGAACTGAGCGCCTTCGATCGTCTCGCGGCGACAGCTCGCAGGCCGGGCGGCCAGAAACTGTGCCGCTCAGCCATCCGCCGGCGCGCTCGGCTCAGTGTCTTCAAGCCCCCGGTGGGGAGCTCCGCTTGCGGGCAACGATTGAACATGCGGGCAGCCTCGCTGTCCGTGAATCAAGCACTCTTCACGGACGGTTTGATTGTGGAAACACCCAATCTGTGCACTCCTTCTACTCGCCAGACCTTTCCGCTCCCAACCGGGCCGGGGGCGTGCCCCTCCGGTTACACAATACGTCATGGCGCGATCGTCCCTCGCCGACGCCTTGCTTCAGCGGCAGGTCGCGTCGCTCGCGAGGGTTGTCCGCATCCCGCGCTTCTTCTCGCCTGCCGACATTGAGCAGGTCGGCCGCGTCGAGCGTGCGCACCACGAGCGGCTTGGGCGGCCGCGCGAGGCGCGGCTGGGGTGGCACACCACCTACCTCAGCGCCGGCGGCCTCTTCCGGGCGACGGTGCCGGAGCTGCACCGGCGGCTGAGCGAGCTGCGGCATCGCGTCGACGTGAGCCGCTTCGACGGCGGCGACGCGGCGTCCGCCAGCGAACTGCTGCGCAGCCTCAACGTGCGCTGCATCGAACTGCACGACGGCCGAGCGGGCGGCTCGCTGAACGACCCTCGCCACTTTGATAACGGATCGACCGTCACGGTCGACGTCCTGCTCGAGGACAGCTTCACGGGCGGCGCCTTTGGCACCACCGAGGCGGGTGGCGCGCTGCACGAGCACGAGTTCTCGGTCGGCGACGCGCTCGTCTTCCCTAGCTACAAGTACCACAGCGTCGGGAGGATAACGGGCGGGCGGCGGCGGACGCTCGTGCTCGAGTTTTGGCAGGGCGACGAGAACCGGTGCAATCACCGCTGCGAACTCATCCGGCCGCGCGCGGGCGAGCCGTACCTCTGCGAGGACGCACAGACGAGCGACGGGTGCGCCGGGCGCGTCTCTGTCACGCTGACGGCGCCCGGCCCGCTCGGGCTCGGCTTCGGCTTTGGGGACGCGGCGGACCCGGAGAACGTGGACGCGAGCGCCGTGGGGGACGGCCGGCCGGTGCGGGTCAGCGTGACCGAGGTGCGGCGAGGCTCGCAGGCCGAGGCCCACCCTCGTCTCGTGGTGGGCCTCGTCCTCACGCGCGTCGCCGGGGTGTCAATCGGCGGCATGAGCTTGGCGGAGGCGGACGAGGTGCTCGGGCGAGCCGTGGGCGGCGCGAGGCCACTCGCGCTGGGGTTCGAGCAGCGACCGTTGGACCTCACCCGCTTGCGGCTTGCCCCGAGCGGAGAGACGGCGGACGCCGGCGCGCAGCCCGCAGCCAGACGAGCAAGTGAGTAGTCGTCGCCACACACACACACACACACACACACACACACACACACAGAGAGAGAGAGAGAGAGAGAGAGAGAGAGAGAGAGAGAGAGAGAGAGAGGTAAAGAAAGAAAGAAAACAGACACGCCAAACGAGGGATGGGACGGGGACAGGGTCCCCACCTCTGCACGAGCAGGATTAAGAGGATTTTGGAAGGACGATCAGGGGGACAGGTGGGGCTCTCCTGCTCCTGACAAGGGACACGACAGGCTCGCAGCGCGGTGCGCGGTGAGGTCTGGTGAGGTGAGAGGTGTCATGGTTATCTGTGTGGAACGGGCTAGCTCAAGGTTGCCTTAGATTGTCAATGGAGAATGGCCGCGTTCTCGCCCCCCTTTCCTGTACGCGTGGGTCTCAGAGGACGAATGCGCACCGGATCTTTGAGGACTTCAAAGTCGGCCGCGCCCCACGGCTATCCCGCCGGCTCTCGAGTGTCGCAGCGCGACGCGCTTCACCCCTCGACTCCGCGCTGCGAGTCGATCTGGAGCTCGGCGCCACCGCCAACTCCACCCTGACGCGTCGCACATGCGCCGAGTGTCCCCCCTGAGGGTGTCCTTGTATAGTATAGTTGGTTGCGAGTTAAAAAAAGCCCGTTCCGCACCCGCACCCAGCACCAAGGCCGTACGTCCTGTCCGAGTACTCGGCGAGTTGGCGCTGCATGCTGATCTGCACGCGCATGTTTGCGCCGAGCGTGGCCCCCTTGGCGGCGATCGCGTCGAGGATGTATTCCTCGATCACCTCGTCGGGGAGGTGCCACTGGGAGCCCTTGAGGAACTTGTTCGCCAGCTCGATGCCGGTCTTGAACTTGGCGAGGCTCGCGGACGTGAGGTCCTTGAGAGCATCGGGGGAGACTGCCTTTTCGAGATCCGCGCGCAGCGTCTTCGTGCGCACGTTCTTGGAGTTCGGGTCCTCCGACTCGATAAGCGACTTGATCGCCGCGATGCCCTTCTAGCGCAGTGGACTTCATCTTGCCGGTCATCTGCCGGCGGTCGACAACTGCCGTTCGAGCAGCGTCGCGTACGGCCGGCAAGATGAAGTCCACTGCGCTCGAAAAAAATACCACCGGAAGCGCCTCGCCGAGGCGCACAATAGTCCCCGTCAGCGCCACGCGCGAGAGCATGTGTCCAATGTGCAACGCGGCGGCGCGATCAGTCACGGGACGACCGACGGAAGCCGGATAAGCCACAAAACTCGCTCATTCAGAGCAGGTTTTCACCGATTTGCTGTGGGCGTTGGCTGAAAATAGTGCTCAAACCGACCAAGTCAAGCGAAAATTGGTCCAACGAAAACGGCACTAGTTAAGGGCAAAAACCGATTTGCTGTGGGGGGCGTTACACCAATCCTCGCTACCCAACGCGGCCAAAGGATATCCACCTCGAGAACCTCGAGAGAGAGTTGTTTTCCAGCCGGACGGTCGGGCGACCCCCGACGATATAGACGTGTGTGTGTGTGTATGGCGCTCCGCAGGAGCGCCGACTACGTCATAGTCGGCGCCGGCAGCGCCGGCTGCGTGCTTGCCAACCGCCTCTCTCGCACCGGCGCCTCCGTCCTCCTGCTCGAATCTGGTGGCGCCGGCGGTGAGACCTCCTTCGACCGGCCGTCTCTTCTCTCGAGGTGCGAGTGCCGGTTG